TCTCCATGCCTATCCATTTATAAGCAAAATTCATGACTTCATCTCTCCTGACAGCTGCATAGTATTCCATTGTGTAGATGTACCAAAGATTCTTTAACCAGTCATCTGTTCTAGGGCACTTGGGTTGATTCCAGATTTTGGCTATTGCGAACAGTGCTGCAATGAACATATAGGTACAGATGTCATTTCTACTGTGCTTTTTCGCATCCTTGGGATATATTCCCAGAAGTGGTATTGTGGGGTCATATGGAAGCTCATGGCTATGCTATGGCTGGAGCGATAGCACAGCAGTAGTGTGTGAAGGATTGCACTCATTTGTGGAGTATAAAACCCGGCTCAGCCTTGCTAACAGCTGGCCCGGCTGAGCCGGGTTTGATTCCTTCGCCCCTCTTGGAGAGCCTGGCAAGCTACCAAGATTATCTCGCCTGCACGGCAAAGCCTGGCAAGCTACCCATGACGTAGTCAATATGCCAAACACAGTAACAGGTCTCAAGATGGAGACGTTACTGGGCCCGCTTGAGCAAATTGATGAATAACAGGAGAACCGTGACCATGATGGAAGCTTAATTTTTAGTTTTTGAAGGACTGTCCATATTGTTTTCTAGAAAGGCTGGACTAGTGGGCATTCCCACCAACAGTATAAGAGTGTCCCTTTTCCCCCACATCCACATCAGCACTGGTTGCTTTTGTTCATTTGAATGTGTGCTAGTCTCTGTGGTGTGAGATGATATCTCATTGTTGTTTTGATTTGCATCATGTGGAGACTTCTTAAATCATGCTGGTTCCTCATCTCTGCCAAGCTAGAGACCTAAAGGAAAGGGTATTAGGGTCTGCAGGCCTCTCAGCTCGGGCCTGCAATTGGAGCTGTCTTGGTATCTGGTTCTGTCTGGGCAACTGTCCAGTGGCCAGCAGAAGGAAGGGAAAGTGACCTGGGGTTATGGCTAAGTATCAGGGCAATGGGTACCAGAGTTGACCTGTACCCATTGGTCCAAAGTGCTAGCCTAGGACTGTTCTAAAATCCTGCCTGAATATGTGGAGCAGGTGGCAGGAAAGCCAGAACTGAGCAGATTTGGGAAATGTAGGACTTCATCACTGGTTCAGGTAAATGCTCCCCAAGTGGATATCCCAGAGGACTGTTCACATCCATCAGCTCAGACATCTGTGAGACCCAATACTGAGAAGTCCAATAGCCCTCCCACCTCCTACTCTGACCATGCTGGGCCTAGAATGTAGGCCAGCACACTGAAGAACTTCTCTACAGGGAACACACAAGGGACCATGGCCTTCTCTTACTTCCTAAGTAACTAAGGTGAGCCCCAGCTGTACAAGTACCAAGCATTCATTCTGCATAACGAGCTGTAATCACTTTTGTGACTTAAAATGCTAAAAATTGTTATTTTTAGTTGTCGGAGAAATTACCTATTTTCAAACAAGGCCAAGTACGTCACCCTCCCCCTGTCCCTTGTCCAGCCTTAAACAAAACAATTGCTCTCAAGAATGACTATATGCTTGTTCCATGTAGTTTACCAATCTAGCAAGACTACCATATTAAGTAAAAATGTCATTATGTCTCCAATTTTACTCATGTAGAATAAAATCCTAACACTGTTGCATGTGTGGAAGTGAGCTATTATCTTAAGTCTTGAAATAAGAAATGTGTTGGGGACTTATGCTATTGGGATTCCAAGCCAGTGTATTCCTTAACACCTCACATTTATCAGGGGAGACTGAGAATAATGTATTAACGTTGCAGCTATTAGGAGCAAGGGAAAACTGCTGTTTGGGAACTTCATTTAAAAAGAAAAGGTTAAAGCTCCTCCTTAACTCGGTGAAGTTCTGGTGACCCCAGCACCATTAGGTCTGAGCAGCATCTGTTATCAGGCCAAAACACCAAATAGTACAATTTAGTTGAAGAACATTGCCAGGACTGGTAACTGGTACCTTTCGTGTGGGGTACCCCTCCCAGTCTCAAATTCTGTTGTTTGAAGCAACAGAATCTGGCTTTGAACGATGTTTGCTAGATATTTAACCTTGCAGATATTTAGAACTTCTACGTTCACCTATGATTTTTTCTAGGTAAATCGTAAGAATTACCAAGAACTTCCAAACTTGAGATTCTGACTCAGAAATTGAAAGGTGGACTCAGCGGCTCATAAACCCATGTAATTTCAATGTGTGTTGAAAATATGTCTTCAAAATGTCAATATGTCTTGACATTTAGAAACCACCCAAAGGCCTTAGCAAAGAGATCTACCTTAGGTCCGCAACAGCCTGGCTGGGTAGGCTGCCACTGTTCATTGTTCTACTGAAAATGTCAGAGAGATGCTCAACAACAAACACCCAACCTCATTTATTAAAAGAATGAATTTTTATTGCTATTTTATAAAGTTTAATATTTTTTCTAAAAGAAAACAAAATCAGCTTACATGGGATAAAGTCACAAGTAGATAGCTATACAGGTAACAGGCATGAGAAAACAAAAGAGGACTAAATCATATGAAAACGAAAGCAGTAAGCAGCAATAAACTTAATACCTACATAACACTAGCAGTGCAATAAGATAAGCAGAAAGCAGCTTTACACGAAAACAAAAAATACAGAAGTAGCACCTTAAAACAAGGAACTGAAAAATGTAAACTCGGTAGGTAGATTCAAGTATAAAAGTTAACCCCCCAGCTCTTGTACCGGAATGAAAGGGTTTCACAAACCCTGGACGGTGGAGGCCCACACCTCAGTGCCAACTCAGAGCTGCGTTTCCCTAGCAGGATCACTGACAATGATTGGTTTCAATTAACTAGGCCATACAACAGACTAAGATTGTCCCACTTCTTCAATACCCAAATGTCCAGGTCTAGCTCAGCAGCCTCATGATCACTACAGATGATTTTCCTGACAGAAACCACCCAGCATTATTTCTTGTTCACATACAAGTCAGATAAAGGGATGAGTATGAATACAAATCTCATTTTCTATTGTTCCAGAGTCATAAGGACATAACATTCTCATATAGGGGGTTGCTTCCTGATACCCCTCAAAAAATTCTGAGGTTCATATGATCCTATCACAAACAGAATTTAAAAATGAATGAGAAAAATATTAAGGTGATGAGCATGCAAAAACATTACGGGGAAAATTAGTTTGTGTTTTCAAATGTAAACTTGCCTGATGAAAATATTTTGTGGAAGAGTACATGAGATATTTAAATTTCGTGTACTTTTGTAGTTTTCTATGTTGTGGTTCCTATAGTCTATTTGAAAAAAGGCTCTTTCAATTTGTCCTATTAGAACCCAGCATATTAACCAGAGCAAGTATTATAGTGTCATTATAATTATTAGAAACATAAAAAATACTATTATTTTATGTTTCATTTGAGAGAAGACAACAAAAAAGGAGAAAATGTAGTCTTGTAAACTTTAAAAGCTTAGTGTTGATAAAAATTTTATATAGTAGCAAGTTTATTGAATCTAGCTACGTACCTCAAGTTTTCAAAAATCATATGGGGGTAATAAGGCTAATATTATCCTGGAGTTAATATAAAGCTACTTTACTCAGACTCCCAGAGTCTCTTATATTAATATTTTTATTCTTTCATATAATATTTTATTGGGTCCAAAATAAAAATCCCACACCAAGATTCCAAATGTAAGACGTTTTAAAAAAGAGAAGGAGAGAAATAAAAGACGAGAGAAAGAAGGGTGGGAGGAAGACATGTACTCTGAAGAAATGAATGACGTAAATACTAGGAATACAAAGATGTAGTTTGGCTACTTTAATGAAACGCTAAAGTAATGTGGGTGAATGAAGGGATATTGCATCATGATTTCCAGAATTGCACTCATGCTGGAACAGTGACCACGCATCCATCTATGGTTATTTTCTTAGAAGAGCCATGTAACTCTGATATGAATCTCCTCAGATACTGAACATAATGCATCATTTCCTCTACCCTCTCCAAACATTAAAATCCACGTCTCCCCCCGCACCTCCCCAAAATCACCAGATGTCCTTTACCATTCCTCTTCAGAATTCTACCCAGAGGTACCATCTAGGTTCCAAGTCTCCAGACAATTCCTTTCTACCATCCTGATTTATTCAATGAACAGCAACTGTCACAAGGCACCCAAATCTGCTACTCTATGTTAAATTAAAAACAAAACAAAACAAAAATACCACTGGGGCATGGAGTGAAGGAAGCTGAGCTCTCCCAAGACTCACGGTTCCCAGGGGCTAGAGACGCAGTGCCAAGGCTGTTAGAGTTCTTCTTTGTCCTGGTGACCCAGCAGGGCCCGCGTAAGTCCATGACAGGAAGGTGTATCATTCACAGTTATTTTGGTCTTGACATTTTGTCACACATCTACATTTATCCACATTATTACTAGGTTGTAAAGTAAGTGCAGGGTAAATTATAGGGGAAAAAAAAAAGTTATCAACATTCAAGTAGTCTTACCCTGAAAAACGTGTTTTGCTGTAGCTGTAAACCTTTTGCACTCAATCCCATTCCAGGAATAAAATAAATAATACCATAGGATTCACAACTGAAGCAGGCTTCCTGAGGAAGCTGAAGGAAGCAGTAGCTTTCTGGAACTGCCAAAAGGATGTTGCTCTCGCCCCAGAGTAGGGTGCAGGTGGCAGTGCAGGTGAAGAATGCTCGCTCACCCCGGTTAAGTGCTAGACAGGCCCCCCCCACCCCCGCCTTTAGAAAAGCCACAAGTCTCCAGCAGCCTGTTGAGGCCAACTTGCCGCAAAATGAGGATTCCAGTTGGTGCATTCACTGTGACACCTGGTCCAGAGTCTGGACTCTATCTGGGACTAAATGCATTAATTCCTAACAATGACTTTCAAGAAAAGGGATACACAAAGACGGGAAGTAACATTAGAAGCAGTGGATGGATGAGAAAGGAAACATGTGCTGTAGTCTGGAGTTTTTGCATCCTGCTGTCTGTGCAGTGTCGTGAAGATGTGCCCGGCGACCCAGAGCGAAATGGGCAGCTAGCGACAGGCTAGTCAGGGCCGCTGCCGGGAATTTCGAGCCTTCTCTGTGCCGAGCTGCTGTTTCGCTTCTGGCTCCTCTCTTTCCTCTTCAGAACGGGCTCTCCATGGCTGCCGGGTGTTTTGAAAAATGTCTCGCGATGTGTACCTCGGATGCTTTTGGGAGTTACTGGGGCTGGAGACTAAAAAAAAAAAAATCCCAACCAAAAAGGGTAAACAGATAATATGGATCCCGATTTCTTTTTCTGTTTTGGGTCAAACCCTGTGATGCTCAAGGGTTACTCCTGGCTCTGCACTCAGGAATCACTTCTGGCAGTGCTGGGGGACCACATGGGATGCTGGGGATTGAACCCTGGTCGGCCATGTGCAAGGCAAACACCCTACCTGCTGTACTATCCCTCCAGCTCCATGGGCCCTGATTTCTGAAATGCATGTTTTTTCCTTTTTTCTACATAACTGAGCTTACTATGGTGGAGACAGTGGGGGGTGGGAGAGGGGTTTCAGGGGAGATGATCCTGATGGAGGGAAGTGGACACTGGTGGAAGGTGTGGGTTGGAATGTTATGTGCATGGAACCTATCGTTAACAATATTGTAAACGGTGGTGGCAGAAACTTTTAAAAACATTTTCAGTTTAAAAGAGAAAATTTAAACATACAAAAATGCATGCACAAAATTCTAAACAATGTTTAACGCAAAATATCAATTCCGTACTTATTGGTTAAATTAACTACAAGTGGAACTGGGAGAACAAACAAAAGTGCCAATTAGCTTATGTTGACTATATACGCATTTACGTTTTTACCTGAATATATTTGATACCACTGCATTTACCTAAACACCGCATTTTGAGAGATACTAAAATTTTTTTGAGTATCAAGATTTCTTTAACCCCTTGATTGTCTCTCTAGCTGGCCCATAGAAAGTCAGAGTGGTCATCTTCATTGACTCAGGGGAAGATTGGAGAAAGCATCTGAATATGTAGCATTTCTTAAAAATTCTATTTTTAGGGGGCCAGAGACAGTTAAGGCACTTACCTTACTAACAGCCAACCCCAGGTGATCCCTGGCCCCGCATACGGTCCCAGGAGCCCTGCCAAGAGTGATCTCTGAACACAGCGTGAACAGTGCTGAGCACTGTCCAATGTGGCCCCCAAACAAAGCAAAACCCTCTTGACTATGTCTAGAGGAATTCATTTTAAGAAACAGATTTATAATGAAAAAACATTTTCACCATGAAACATAGTCTTGGTGTTTACAAAACACCACGGGTATTTGTAAAACTCTGGAGAATATTTTACAGTCACGTGTATATTTTATATACTCTTTTTTAATATATAAAATACTGGAGGTTACACGGTCACTAAGTAGAAGCGAACCCAGAACCCACTGTGAAGTATGAAACTGAAATAAATACAGGAAAACTTCCCCCCCCCCCCCCCCCCCCCCCGGGAAGAGCCTCTCTGTGCCAAACTGTGATGAAATGCAGGACTTACCTGTTGTAATTTGACTACAGAGACTGGATGGCCCCCGTAGACGGGGGAGTCGGGTTGGATCACGTGGTGTGATCTGGACATCACTGGACTCAGGTTAAGTGAGCACGGACCCGGGAGCTGAGGGTCTGCTGAGGGGAGTATCGATGATTTGGGATTCACCATGGTGGCGGGGCTGATGAGAAGGTGAGCCGTGGAGCCAAGGCCAGGCAGGCCAAAATTCACCGGTCCTGTGGGTGGGAGTGTGCCGGGAGCAGAGGGCACCGGCTGGGGCATGGTGGGGGAGTAGAGAACAGGAAAAGGGCCCAGCGTGGGTGACGGTAAGACCATGCAAGGAACGCCGATGGATGGTAGCTGAGCTGAAGGGGGCCCCAGGTTATGAGGGGACTGACTGCCAGGTAAGAGCACGTTGAAACCATTTAACCCTGAAACAGAAGAAGAAAACAATACGAAATGAGATTATCATTCAAGCTCTCACGTCTTTGTTTTTTTGCTTTTTGGGTCACACTCTATGATGCTCAGGGGTTACTCCTGGCTCTGCACTCAAGAGTCACTCCGGGCAGTGCTCAGGGGACCAGATGCGATGAGGAGGGGGATCGAATCCTGGTAGGCCGCGTGCAATGCAAATGCCCTACCTGCTGTACCATCTTTCAATTTTTTGCTTGTTTTTGTCTTACGGTCACATCTGTTGATGCTCAGGGGCCATAGCTGTGCTGGGGGACCCAAATGAGGCTGGTTGAGTGTAAGAGAAGTGCCTGAACCCCTACATTCTTTGGCGTATCAAGCTCCCACTGTTTCACATGGGAGTGCACAATGGATCAACCAACCCACCCCTTCTGTCCTCTGCTCAAACCACATCACTCCTGCAGTGCAGTGACCACGATTATAATCCCAGTTACTGGACAATAATAATCTATTGCTAGCCGTGTATCCTGAGAGGGTTCTTTGGTTTACAGGCCACACCTGGTAGTGCTCAGGAGTCACCCCTGGTTGCCGGGACAGGATGGAGTATACGCAACACCAGCACTCCAGTCCCTTGGATGGGCTGTCCCCCAGACTTGTGAGAGCGCTTCTTTCAAGTGAGCTCCACAGGTCACAAAGTGAGAAGCAAAGTGAACCTGGATGGAAAAAATTCTATCATTGTGTTCTGAACTTCAAACTGAAACCTTTTCTTCCCTGATTAGGATCAAAGGCAACAAATCACAACGATGTTAACAGAACCAGGACTTGGCCACTAGTAAAAAGCAGGAATATGGTCTGAGTACATTAAAAGACAGGAACGTTTGGAATTATGAGAATGCTGGACTTTTCAGATCTTTTTTATGAGCATAATTAAAGTTTTTTCCTGCTGTATTCCAAGAGAAGTGCCTTCCTTTGTATCCCTATGTACTTAATCCTACAAATTTTCTGAGGAAGGAACTATAGTATTTAAAGGTCTATGGCACAGAAAATATTAAAATCTCTGTGCTGGGAGTATATTTCATTCAGTGGTGGCTGAAACTGTTTTTAGTTTATTAATGTACCTATTTAAAGTAAGCCCTCAAACATATTTGCTCAAGGAAAACAATATTTTATGTGTGCAGCAGATACCTATCCTGTGAAGAAAATAAGGAACTGAGAAAAACCATTTCAATGCTCTCTATATGAAGAGCAGATATACAATACATGATCTTAAAAATTAGGTATACATAGTATATTTGCTTTATTTCGGAATATTAACAGCATTTATGGCATACCCACATGCTTTAGGTACCATATATATTTTTTTTAATTCAATTCTCAGGTTTGAAGTGATAGTACAAGACTTGCGCTCCAAGTAGCAAACTCAGGTGAGCCACCCCCGCCTCCTGGAGTGATCCCTGAGCATCACTGAATGTGCCTCCTATCCCCCCATTTAACAAACAAACAAACAAAACCCTTCAGTTTCCAAAACTATATAGAGAGTACAAGGGTTAAGGCACCTGCCTTGCATGTGCCAAGCCCAGTTCGATCCCAGGCACCACATGGTCCAGCAAGCACAGCCGGGAGCAATTCCTGAGCATCACATCCCCAACCCAAATCCAGTTTTCATAGTACTCTCATGAATAGTAGGTGCTATTATCATTGATGATTTACTAATCAGGATAGCTGAATACTTGTTCCAAGTTCATGCGGAGAGTTAAGGGTCATTCACACCTCCCTTTCCTCCAGACCATGCCGTTGGTCGTGGTGGCGTGTTCAGCGCTGCTGGACACATAAAGCAGCATAGCTGCGTGGCCAACAGGTGCAAAATATCATCCCCAGCCGGGGCCGGCATCAGCTGAATGACAGGGACTCATTTTTGAAGTTTGTTGTGCCTTTTTCTCTTAACCAATTAATATTCAATGCATTAAGACAGGAAATCGCAGATTTCCCCCAGGATCTTTGATCTTGGTGCCGGTGAAAGGAGCTGCTCTATAGATGGGGAGAACATGGAGGCTACGAGGAAAAGTCCCCACCACAGACAGCAGCTCAATGAACCATGTTGGCTGGGGGACATGGAAAATAATGTAAAAATCTGCATTATGATCCAAATCCCTTCAAAGGGCCTGTGAGAAATCACAATGACAAAAGAGCCCTTACCGGCCGGTGACTGTACATAAAGATATGGCAGCAAAGAGGGTTCTTTGGCGCTCTCTGTTTCTTGCGAAGGCTTTTCAATGTCTGGGTTTCTTGGAGGGTTGCCCCACTCAGAAGACACGAAGCTGTTGGCTATTGCTTTTCCCAAACCCTCCTTTGCAGCAGGATGCTGGCCGTTCAGGTGGCCATCTTCAAGAAGTGCAGGTCCCGGGATCCTGGGAGAAGCAGTGTCCTCGGACTCTGAGGATTTCTAAATGCAAGCGCGCCAGGAACCAGAAAAGTCACAAGCCCAGTCATAAAACTACATAGCAGCTTTATGAGAACAGTTAAACCATAAAAAAAAAAGTCAAGCCTAGCTGTCTGCTGCACTAATCATCAGTGAATATCAGTGTTCTCAGTCATATTTATAGGAATGGGCTGAAAATCAGTGTCACAGCAGATGCATCTGATTTCTTAAAAATTTCGAGATTTTAATCAAGGGAGACTGAACATCAGGTTGAAACCATGAAATAAATTTTGGAAGTACTGCTATGCCAATCAAGGCTATAGGTACCAGTCTGTTAAGAACCCGACAAGAATGACAGGGCTGAGCTCAAAACCCTGTGGTTATGTGATATGTACCACTCCCATCGCTCACTTCTGGCCCATAACCCCAGGGTCTATTCTAAACCAGAACAATTTATCTGGCAAGAGGAAGGAGGAAGGTTCTTAATTACTGGACTGATTTCTATGCAGGGTACCTCGCTGACCCACTGCAAACTGCTGTCACTGCAGTGTGGCTTCTTTCTGCGTCTGACCGGCCACATCTCATTAACCTCAAATGGCAACTAAGCAGGAGAAGAGGAGACTGTGTGTTTTTGTTCTTCGCATTTCACAGAAAAATAGGCAAAGGAAACGGAAAAGAAATGGCAAGTGTAGAGATACTGAGAACCAAGTTGTACACCCATTCCTGAGCTTAGAATTCAGTTGCATCTTAGACTCACATGATTATTTTAATGATCTCAATTTGGGTGTTTTTTTTGTTGTTGTTGTTGGGTTTGTTTTTTTTCTAATTTGTTTATTTTTGGACCATACCCAAAGTAAGACCGTACCCAGACTCCTACTCTGCAGTCAAGATTCATTCCTTGTGGTGCTTGGGGGACCGTATGGGGTGCTGGGGATGGAACTCAGGTCGACCATGTGCAAAGCCAGCACCTTAGCCATTGGACTATCTTTCCAGCAGGATCTCAATTTGTTTTACAAAAAAGTGGGGTGGGGGGCAGGCGGAAATATAGTACAAGGTATTAAGGTACTCGGCTTGCATGCAGCCAACTCTAGTTTACATCCTTGACACCTGAGATGGTCCCCAGAGCACCACTAGGGGTCACTCCTGGGTGCAGATCCAGGAATATTCCCTGAGCATGACTGGGTGTTACCCAAACCCATGTCACAGGGCCAGAGTGATAGTACAAAGGGCAGGGCACTTTCCTTGGATGCAGCTAAATCAGGTTCGATCTCTGGCACCCCATATGGTCCCCTGAGTACTGTCACATGTGATCCCTGAGCATAAAGCCAGAAGTAAGCCCTGAGCACTTCTGGCTCTGTGCCCAGCATGTACCCCACCCCCACAATCTGCCTCAGCCCCTTCCATGAGGTGCTCAGAAGACCAAGAGCCCCACCCACTAATCCTTGGCCAATCAGACCTGAGGATGAGGTGCTCTCAGTGTCTCCAGGGACAAACCCAGCAGTGCTGGGCCTAAAGGGCAGCATGTGGTGACACTTGGGTGACCACGTGGTACAGGGCTCAAACCAGGGTCAGTCACATGTTAGTCAAGTGCTCCAACTCCTATAATATCTCTCCTGCCCCATTAATCTCTTTAAAACATTTCAGTAGCAGAAAGACTGAGAGGAAGTATATGTTAAAAGTGACTGCCTTTCAAAAAAGCACATGAGAAAATGCTCTACATCATTAATCATCAGGGAGATGCAGATCAAAACCACAATGAGATACCATCTCACACCTCAGAGACTGGCCCACATTCAAAAGAACAAAAGCAACCGATGCTGGCGTGGATGTGGCGAGAAAGGGACACTCCTTCACTGTTGGTGGGAATGTCCACTGGTTCAGCCCTTCTGGAAAACAGTATGGACGATTCTCAAAAAATTAGAAATTGAGCTCCCATTTGACCCAGCAATACCACTCCTGGGAATATATCCCAGAGAGGCAAAAATGTATAGTCGAAGTGACATCTGCACTTATTTGTTCATTGCAGCACTCTTTACAATTGCCAGAAACTGGAAGAAACCTGAATGCCCAAGAACAGATGACTGGTTAAAGAAACTTTGGTACATCTACACAATGGAGTACTATGTAGCTGTTAGAAAAGATGAAGTCATGAAATTTACATACAAATGGTACAATATGGAAAGTATCATGCTAAGCGAAATGAGTCAGAAAGAGAGGGATAGACATAGAAAGATTGCATTCATCTGGGGGATATAAAGTAACAAAGTATGAGATTAATACCCAAGAATAGCTGAGATCAGCACCAGGAGGATTACTCCATAACTTAGAGGCCAGCCGGGTATCCTAGAGGAAAGGGCAGTTCAGATAGAGAAGGGAGCACCAAATAAAGGATGTTTGGAGGATCCTCCCAGGAGGGGAGATGCATGTCGAAAGTAGACTATGGACTGAACATGTTTGCCACTCAATGCCTCTTTTGCAGACCACAACACCCAAAAGGAGAGAGAGAACACAGGGGATTGCCCTGCCACAGAGACAGGGGGGATGGGGGGATGGGGGTGGGAGGGATATTATCCATGGTGGTGGAAAATGGGCACTGGTGGAGGGATGGGTATCTGATCATTGTATAATTGAAACCAAAGCACAAAAAATTGTAAATCTACAACTATAAAAAAAAATAAAATAAAATAAAGGGGGGGAAAAAAAAAGTGACTGCCTTTATGAACCGTGATGACAGGTAGGGTTTTCTTTGCTTTATCATCTTTGCATTTTATGCAAAATGAGACCTTTAACAAAAACCACTTCTCTCAGACTCATTCTCCCAGGGAAGATTCTTCTTTTGGGAGAGCCAGTCCCAAGTTGAATGAGATCACTGATTCCTGAGATGTCCTCCCATTTCAGGCTCTGCAGCTTAGTGACACGTGTCTTAGAGCAAAGCCATGAGTTCACAAAATGGCACTCAGCAAGCCCACCCTTACCCCTTACCTTGGGCACGACGAGGGACAGAGGACCGTCCTCGTAGTCCCGGCTCTGCCGTTTACTGGCTGGCTGCTCCTCTTCAGGGCTCCTCTCCTCCCCAAGGCGCTTCTGAACTGTGGATGATGGCTCCGCTGCTGTGGTGCTTTCTGCACTCCGGCTGTCCCTCTCTGACCCTGGGCCCGGGGACGCTCCCTCCGGTAGGCTCCCATACAGCATGAATAGTGAGGTGGAAGGCACGTACACCATGGGCTGGCCGGCCAGCAGGGCTGGCTTCAGGCTCTCCAAGTCCGAGGGTGCTGAAGCGAATGAGATGCCTACGTGTCCATTTACACCGTTCTGTACAGAGAAGGCCTGCACGTCCTTTTGAGCCACGGAAAACACAGGGTGGGCTGAGGGATTCACACAGTATTCAGGATCCATGGAGGGGATGAGGCCGGGAGCAGCAGGGTCCAGGCTGCCCACTGGAGGCACTGCGCCCTTACTGGCAAAGGCGTCCCCCCTGCGAGGACAAGAAAGACAACGGATACTGTCAGGGGACCACATTTCCTCAGCTCCATACCGCCTGCTTGCCTAATGGGAAAAATACCAGAGCAGCAGTGAAGGGACTCTAAAGGCTGACATTAGCATCCCACCCCAGAGCACTTATTAGCTGACCCCAGGGGCAGGTGAGGAAGGATAATCTGGAAGGGTTGGGATGCTTTGGGGAGACAACGCTAGACAAGACCTTGGAGGACATTTCAGGGACATTACAGGTAACACTGGGTCTTACCCAGCTTCTTTCACAACTAGGAACTCTCCATTACTTCACATACTCTCCTAATACAGGTACTATGCTGTTTACTGTTGTAGAATAAGTCTACAGCAGTGCTGGAGAAACAGTAGAGCTAAGGCACTGACGCTGGTATGAATTCTTGGCATCACATAAGGTCTCCTGAGTACTGCCAGGGGTCATTCCTGAGCACAGTCGGGAATAGCCGCTAAGCAACATCAGGTATGCCCCTCCTACCCCCGATTATAATAGCTTTTCTAATTCTGTCCACTTTCGATTTTTTTAGGGGGTAAAGCTGAAACTCAGACATTAAACAATCTGCTGAAGATCACTCAGTCTGACAGCAGTAAGGCTGGTTCTCACATTCAGATGCTGGGAAGGGACCTAGCAGGATACCAGCTGGGACTAGACTTTGACTTCAAGGACACATCTAGTTTGCCTCAAATGCACTGTGAAACAAATCAAGTGGGCAATGAGTGAGAAAATAAGCTCGACTGCAAAATTAGTTTTTTTCTATCAATCTCATCCTGCTCTGCTTAGTATTGCTTATACAATTTTTAGGTAAGTGCATATTAAAAATTAAGTCATTATGAGATTATAAATGATGTCTGGGTCTTGAAACAGAAACATTTTCAAATGAAAAACCATACATATATGTCTGATACATTTTTAGCAACAGATGAGAAAACGTAAGATTCCTTTAAGAGGTAGCAAGGCTCCCAACCCTTGTGATTAAATCACTGAGACCTATTTTGCTCCCAATTTTTCCATCCTTGTGTTGCAGAGTTGAGCAAATTTCTCTAACCACAGCCCTTCTTGGTGGGGTATGGGTCATGCTTACTCTGGGAGATCAGATGTACCCACACTGAGTATCTCACCCATCTTCTCAGTAACACCAGTATCAGCATCATCTGAAACTCAGATATTCTTTCAACTTCAATGAATCTTGCTGACTCACTCTTCTCAACTGATTTCCATTTCTCTCCATCTCCAGCTGACATAGCTCTGACCTGTCTCCACGGCAGACAGAATGAGTGCTTGGGTATCAGCTCACCCAGAACTCTGCTGTCTGCCCCCAGTCCCATTGGCTGGAAGAAGTCAGAATGGTTTTCTCCAGTGAACCGATACGTTCTTTACTGTCTGACAAGTCCAAGTTTTTCTGACTTTCAAAGCTCTTTGTCAGTCCCAAATGTTTGTCTCTAAACAGCCACCTTCTTATGCCACACCTAGCAGTGCTCAGGGTTTATCCCTGGCTCTGCATCCAGGGGTCACTCCTGGAGGGACTGAGGAACCATATGTGGGGTACTGGGGATTAAACCCCGGTCAGCTGAGTGCACTGCAAGTGCATTACCCACTGTACTATCTCGTCGCCCCGTATTTGCACAAATATGGCTCAACTCATTCTCTAGTTTCTATCCCTGGCCCAGTCTTGCCTCACAATGTTTCTTTCCACATCAGTTACTAAGAATCTCCCTTGTTCCTGCTCTTTCACAGTTCCTCTGTTCCCTAAGAATAAGGTGATTTCCTTCAAAACCAGATGCCAAATTAAGAGTCAGATGCCAGGGTCTGAAGAGTAGCAGTGTGGCATGAGACATACTGTTTAACCTCTCTGCGCTTCAGTTTTTTCTGTAGAATGAGGATATAAAGTACCCACCTCATAAGTTAGGTAGGTCTGTATTCATGAGATATCAAGAATAATTAATTGCAAAAAAAAAAAAGCTATGATGACAAAATGACTCCTGTGTCTATCATTTCTCAGTGTCATGTTAGTGAAATAATCTTTTATTTTTTGTTGTCAGTGTTTTAAAATTTTTTTTCCCTGTAAGCTTTCATAGCCCAGGGGATAAAATATCTATACTTCTATGTCCCAGATGTTACATTCTATACCAGGTTGGACACGAAGGGGAAAATTCTTCAACAGATGGCTGACTTATGAGCAAGACTACTATATTTTACCATTTGTGGGATGGCATTTCAATCCAGTCAAATTTAACAGTAAGAAATAAAAAGGGATACACTTAAGAGTTTCAGCAGACTACTTACTGTGATTTTTCTTCTATTTTCTGTCTGTAGACAGCTGCCACACTTCCAATTTCTAAGGAGTAGCCCCCTGTTCCTGAAAAGGAAAGTGAAGGTCTAGCAAATACAGCAAGAGATCGAAACATGCCAATTATAAATAGCAGGGCTTATTATTCATAGTTCAGGGATTGAAAGACGATCCCAAATCTGTGCTGGTTTTATCCAGAAGCTGGCTATTCATGGTGAATTAGGGTCTCATCAGAAATTAGTGAGAAAACAAGCAATATAAAACAAATTATTTCTGTGCCTGCCAACGGGCAGGCTGGGAGTTAGGAGAGAGTGGGGAACTGGGACAATGGCAGAGGGAAGGTCATACTGGTGGTAGGATTGGTGTAGGAACACTGAATGCCCGAAACAACTAAACAGCTCTGTAAACCACAGTGTTTAAATAAAGTTTTAAAAAGAAAAGAATTAGTAAGCAAACTAAGTTTGACTCTCTAAGTCCGATGAATTTCTGAGAGGCTTCCAACAGGCCAACCATAACAAACATATCGATCTTCAAGGCTAATCAGCCATGAGACTCCAGCCATAGACTGTGATATCAGCAACTCTTTTACCCTTAATAACCTCTGCAACTTCAGTTAAATGAAAACACAAGCACAGCCGTGAGAGTCAGCTCACTGAAAATGTCTGGGCGTGACTACAGTGTGGTGACAGGCGGATTCTGTGGATTTCATGAAGGCAGATACCTTGCGCTTTGTAAGGGCTGTTGGGTTCTGAGTTCACTTTCCTCTGGATCCTCTCAGAAGCCTGAACTGTGGGAAAAGAACCATGTCGAGCCAGCCTCTGTTTTGCACAGACCCGAATCTGGCCATATGATTCTTTCTTCAGTTCTGGTAAGATAGAGGCAGAAACATCCACGAGTTCTTCATCTAAATAAATGAGAGAATAGGTCGTGCTGCTATAGAGCTGCAATTCAGGATAATTTTAGCTTTTTTTTTTTCCTTCCCAAAAAGAAATGGCTTTGAGAGCCTGCAATTGTAATAGAGCTACCCTATAAATTAAAAACGAAGATAATCCAAGGGAGTTTATGAGCGTTACTCAAACTTCAATTTCTTTGGATGTACTAATCTCTTTTACAAGTTAGTAGACGACTACAAAGTGAGTCCAAATCCACATATATTCTAAAATTATCTGAACTGCAACAAAAGTAGAGCAAGATGCTCTTCAACCCAAATTAGAATGGACCTGACATTTCAGTTGCTTTCTCTGGGCACAGTATCAAAGGATAACCCAGTCATACTTAGCTCAACATGCATATTTTGAGAGTTTTAACATTAACAGAGATCAGCCTCATACCACAGCTCTAGCACAATGAGTCTTAAAGTCTATTTTTTTCCATTTAGCTTTATTATGTCTTTCTTACGCAGTAGGAGGTTCAGTTACAAAAAGTGACCAAAGGAATAAGGTCACCAGAAATCTCATGATTGAAATGTCACAGAACACTGAGAATAATAGAAGCCTGGACCTGGGCCTCAGCAACCCATTTTATGCTTCAAGAAGGCTGTGTGAAGTCAGGATAAAACTTTGTATAGAGAACCAGGACTATACTTCTGTATATAAAAGGAGTCCTTTTCCTAGCCTGTTCATCTGGGCTATTTTTCCTAAGTTGAAAGCAAACATGGCTTAATTATAAGGCTAGTTTAATGAAATGAAAGGCCTTGCTAGACTAACACTTTCTAAAACACACCAAACTTGAAAAAGAGAAGAACTTATGGCAGAAAGCCAATGGATATTCTTTTCAGAAAAATCAGAAATTATAGGATCATAAACAAGAAAAGTAGGTAAAGGCCACACAGGGATCTTATTTACCCACTTTTCTGAAACAAATACGGAAAAACAACAACTACCACAAAAAAAAAACCACACAACCGGTGGTTTTCAAGACATTGGACATCAGGACCTGGTGGACAGTCTCTCTTAGAACAGGAATGGGGGACGCCTGGCCCACATACAGGCCTGTAAAATCAAGTAGTCTGGCCACAGTACAGGATGGATAAACACTGTGCTTCTCACTGGCTGCCAGTAGCCGATTGTAAGACCACAAGTAATACTATAAATATACAAATGGCCCTTGGCAGAAACAAATTTCCCTATCTCTGGCGTAAATCAAGTAAGAGTGAGCTGTGTGGTTGCCCCAGCTTACTGTGTAATGAATACTTCCAGGTTAGGGTACAGAGAAGAGATCTGACTAGAGCCCGGAAGCCTCCTAGGTTGAAGAGAGTGGGGACAGTTAGAGCTCACAGGACACAAGAACTGTACAAAGAGAAAGGCTGGAGATCTAGAAAGAGGCCCCTTAAGCATTCGGTGAAGAATGCATGCCCGCATGCTCACATATGCAAAAACTTACTATCCAAGCCCAGGAAAAAGACCACTCAAAAGAGGGGCGGCAAGAAAAGTATGGAGATAAGATGCTTGCCTTGTACCCAGTTGACTCTGGTTTAATCCCTGATCCAGGTCCCAATTGGATCCCCCAGCATTGCATATGGTTCTCCGAGCATCAACAGAAGTGATCCTTGAACACAGAACCAGACCCTGAGCGCTGCTAGGTGTGGCCCCCAAACAACGAAATAGAGGAATAGTGTCTGCAGCTCACAGTGGGCTGGAAATATTGCTTACTGCTAATAGTCATAGCGGAAAATTCTCATAATTTATGGGGAATTATGGACAACACCAAAAACGGTGTCATCTTGGTAGTCAGGACAATGTACTCAAGCTAAGTGTTGATCGGATCCTGTTGGGGAAGTTTAAACGCAAGATCTGAAACAACTGTTTCTAAGTACATTCATCGCATAGTAATAGAGAATTATCTGGCACCTAACAGCATATAATTCATAGTGTCAGATACAATCGAAAATCCCCAGGAATACAAAGAGACACAAGAGAATATAACCCACACACGGAGGCCAAATATTTTTTTTCACTTTTGGGTAAAAAACCAATGATAAAATCAGGAACAGATAAGCAGCATAACATAGCTATAATTCTTCTCATCAATTCAAGAAACTGGAGGAAAGATTACATACATGATTACATACATACAAATATGTATATATGTATATATTTAATGTATATATTTAATATATATACATTAAAAATATAACTGAAATCAGTGATTAAAGACTATAATGCTGGAGATGAAAGATACAATGAATGGAACTAATGGAAGTTCAGATATTATCAGAAAGAAGTAGTTGAACTTGAAGAGAGTAAAAGATTCCATCCAAGATGAAAGAGAAAAGAAGAAAAAAAAACCACCATGAGTGTGAAAAACAGTGGGGCAATTTCAAGCAACCAAATGTAAATGCAATTGGAATCTTCAAAAGGAAAAACATTAAAGGAAATAACGGATGAAAATTTGCCAAATTGATGAAAACCATAAACCCACCAATCCAGGAATTTCAACAAACCCAAATGAAAGAAATATGAAGAAATACACACCAAGACGCACATAATCCAACTGCTTAAATAGGTCATAGAGAAATACTGAAAAAAAAAAATCACATAAAAGGATGTGCTAGATATAGAAGAACAGGATGATGGCCGATTCCTTGTTAGAAACAAGAAACAAGCCAGGAAGTAGCTCACACAGATGGAGTGAATGCCTGAAGTTTGATCCCTGGCACAACTAAGCATCGCCCCTGAGGCCTCCAAGCACCTCCAGCTGTGGCTCTGGTAGCTTCTGAGCATGCGGCTATGGCCCTGGACCAAGCAGCATCATATTGTCAGGCCTGAGCATTGAACCATTTGGTCCTGCTGGCTGAGTACTGTTGAGTGATTTCTCTTCTTTAATAGGGGCCAAACAAAGTAATGCTTGTGGAAGCCAGGGGCCACTCCCCACAGACACTAGCTGACCTGATACTCAAACCAAGGGTGCCCGGGGCCACCAAGTTTGTGCCCAGTAGTGCTAAGGGTGGTGCTGTAGATTGATGCTGAGTTGTGCCAGGGATCAAACTTCAGGCATTGACTCCAGCTGCGTGACCATCTCCCTGACTTGTTTCTTGACGGACTTTTCTGCTTGAAGAGTCCATCAAGCAGAAAAGTAATAGCAAATGAAACTATGCAGCAATGCTCAAGTGGCCACAAGATGTTGGGAACTGAACCCAGAAAATTGCACATGGTGATTTTCAATGATGCACACTAAACTTCTACGCCACAATGCAACATTTAGTGAAAAGTAAAGGATGAAATTAAAGCTGAAGAGAGAGTACAGTGGGTAGAGAACTTGCCTTGCACACAACTCACCTTGGTTCTCATGCTTGGTTCACCATGGCACATGCAGTCCCCTGGGCAGTGCCAGGATTCATCACTGAGCAGAGCCTGGGAAGCCCTGTGCACAGCTGAGCATGGCCCCAAAGCAAAAACAGAAAAAAACCAAAAATGTTTAAGGAAAAAAAAATTCTCCGAACATCAGTAACTGGATTAAATGTAAATGGTTTAAACCAGTTTCTGAACTGGAGGCCCCCAGGATATTCTAATGGGGCCAAAGGTGAAAACTGTGTAAATGCAGGACACTACATGAGACAGAGGGAGCCAGCCTCTAGAATGGGAGGGGCAAAGAAGGGAAACAGGGTGGGAAGGCTAACCACGGTTAGAAAAATGTTGAGAAACAAGGATTTAAATCCAATTAATAAACAGAAATGGTCAGATTACATTTAAAAAAATTCTCAGCTTTACCATAAAATGACTTTAAATATACTTATCATTTAAAAAAAAACTATGCTATATGAACAGAGAATTTTATCAGGTACAAAGGAGATATTTTCATTTAAAAAAAAAAGGCTCAGCTCATTCAAAAGGCATAACAATCAATTCCAAATGTTTATGCGTTTACTGACAGCTTCAAATACATGAAACAAAACTGAACAGAACTGCAAGGTAAAACAAAATCAAACTAGTAATTATAATTCAGATTCCAACATCCCTCTATCTATAATAAGTAAACATAAAATGATAAGGATTTAAATTAGATAACACTATCAATCAACTAGCTGCCATTTGTAGAACATTCCACTCAGCCCAAGCAGAGGATACAACAGTTAGAGCACATGCCTAGCACCATCTGGTGCCCCGAGCATTGCCAGGTGCAGTGCTGGAGGCTCCCTGGGCGTTCAGGTGGCCCAGGTAGTTCCTGGCTCTGCAGGGTGTGAGCAACCTGGCACTCCAGGGTCTTTGCATTGAGTCACTGGCCCAATGAACAATTCTTGGGAGGCCCAACAAAAATTTTTTTTTGGTAGAATATAAATTTTTCAAGTGTAAATGGAATATATAGTATGCCTGTCTTTATCTGTTTGATAAAATTGATCTCAATAAATTTAAAAGGATTCAAGTTTCATATGAAGTATGTCTTCTGCTCACATGGAATGAAATTACAAGTGATTATGAAAAATACATGGAAAATCTCAAAGTATTTGGAAACTAACATATCTAAATAAGCTGTGGGTTAAAGGAGAAATCAAAAGGGAAGTTGCAAAGTATTTTGAACTAGAAGACAATGAAAGCACACATATCAAAGTCTGTGGGAAAGAGAACAGTACTTAGAGGAAAATGTATAGCATTAATATTAGGGGAAAAAAAGTTCATAGTAATAACCCCACTTCTACCTTAAGAAATTTGAAAAAGAGATCAAATTAAACACAAAGCAAAGGAATTTACAGAGATAGACTATAGCTATTACAGAAAAAGAATCTGGTTAAAAAACCTTCATACAGACCAGAGCGATAGTATAGCTGGTAGGGCATTTGCCTTGCATGGGACCAACCTGGGTTCGATCCCCAGCATCCCATATGGTTTGCCAAGCAGGTCCCCTGAGCACTACTAGGAATAATTCCTGGGTACAGAGCCAAGTAGTAACCCCTGAGCATTGCTGGGTATAATCCAAAAAGGCCAAACAAAACAAAACAAACAAACAAACAAAATACCCTCTTGCACAGAAAAGTCCAGACCTACAAGACTTCACTGGTGAATTCTATCATGTAAAGATATGCACAACTTTTATGTGATGAACAAAACCTGGAAATGATCCAAGGTTCATCAATAAGGAAATGAACAAAGATATAAAATTGAATACTCTGCAATAAAGAATGCATAAATGTCATATATTTTAAAATAATTCATCTAGAATAATTATTAAAGCAGCTTGCTAAAGAGCTAGCAAATACCGAAAAATTGAACCATTGCTCCTAAAGGAAATATATGATTAGGTTTCCTGTGAGTGTCTCTCAGGTCAATGATCAAAATACAATCTTATGTGTCTTTCTGTTTAAAGAAATCTTCTTTAAAACATTACACTGACCTATTAGCACTGAAGTGGATGGCGAAGTAGCACTAGAAATCTCACCTGAATGAAGCTCCTCAAATGTATGTATGTTTTGTCAGGCATACCATAGCCTTCTGACACTCAAAAACACTAGACTGTACTTCAGCATATCAGCTGGGAACCCTCAGCCGTGCTCAAGGGCTAATCCTGGCTCGGTTCTTGGGAGTCATGTCAGATGGTACTTGGGGTACCATGTCATGCCTTAGATAGAAACTGACTGAACCTCCTGTGTGCAAAATCATGCACTTAGGAATAGCCCCTCAGCACCGCCAGATATGGCTTCCCTCCACCCCAGGAAAGAATGATGGTGTCGTAATGGAATTAGGGAATGTTTTCTAAGGATAAAGAAATTAGGTTCAGTTTGAGACTCCTGACCTGATTCCAGGCTTTTTCCTGTCAGAGCAGCCTTCTTCCAGTTTCCTATCTAGCTATGCAATGCAGGAACTCTTTGGCTTATCAACACCAACTCTCAACCTCTTTATTTTCTGTAGTAACACCCCCAACTTTTGAATACCTTCATTTAAATTCTCTACATCTAAAGATCCTTTTGTCACTTCTACAACATTTAGCTCAAACTTCTTGGCCTAACTTTTTTTTTTTTTCCTTGTTTGGTTGTTTTATTTTTGGACCACACCCGGCAATGCTCAGTGGTAACTCCAGGCTCTGTGTTCAGGAATCACTTCTGGCAGTACTCACGGGACCATATGGGATAACAAAAATTGAACCCAGGTCACCTCTGTGCAAATGCCTTACCACTGTCCTACTGCTCTGGCCACTTTTTGGCCTAACTTTACAGGCCTTCCAGAATGTGACCATAACTGAGCACACACCTTATTTCTCATTAATCTTAATCCTATAACGTTTCATTCAAATCAGAGTGGCTGATTTCTTTAATACAAACCATATTTGTTCTTAGGCATGCTATTCCTTCTCTACTCCTTCAAAATCCAACAATCAATCCATCAGAACAGCCCATATTTTAAGTTTCTCTGTGTTTCTTTCAGGCCACATTTGGCAGTCCTCAGAACTTACTCCTAGCAGAGTTCCAGGATGGCAGTGGTATCAGACTGGGGTTAGCCACATACAAGGCAAGTGTCTCACTCAACCCCTGTGCTAGCTCTCTGGCCCCACAACTCTATATTCTCATAAAGGTAGTGCTCGTGTGCAGTGCATAACCTCTGTCTAATTTTCAGATGTGTACTATTTATATAGTCTCACGGAATCTTCATGAAACAGCTAAAGTAAGGCACTGATCTATGTGGTGCTCAAAGATGAAGACTGCACTGGCCTCCAATATGCAGAGTAGGGACAAAGCATACCATCACCATTACCAAGTATCACAGCAAAGGTACAGATGAGACACTGCACTAGGAGATCAGGGAAAACTTCCTGAAGGAGATGCCAGACACTTGAGTTAGAGCTCGAAGGGTGAAGAGAGTCTTTTTATATTGAAACAAAGAGTTTTAAAGGTGAAAATACTAAGAGGAACCAAAAGCAAAGATAACACAGGAGTGTAGTAGGTTCTATAATAATGTTATTTTGTTAAAGCATAAAGGTAAAGGTAAAGGGCCTCCCGTTGATGGTCGATTTGCTCGAGCGGGCCCAGTAACGTCTCCATTGGAGACTTTGTTGTTACTGTGTCTGGCATATCGAATACTCTCGGTAGCTTGCTGGGCTCTCCGAGAGGGGCGTAGGAATCGAACTCGGGTCGGCCATCTTGGCCACTTGTAAGGCGAACGCCCTACCCGCTGTGCAAAAAAAATCAACCAAAGTTCTATGAAACCTTATTAAAGAACCTGTTTTTTATTTGTTTGGGGCCATACCCAGTGATGCTCAGGACTTGCTCTTAGCTTTGTACTCAGAATTTTTCCTGGTAGTGTCCAAGGACCATATGGGGTAGCAGGAATTGACCCTTACCTGCTGTACTATCTCTCCAACCCCATAGAACCTATATGCCTGTTATGTGACGCCCCAACATATATTCATGTAGAGGGAGGACTGTGCTATATGTATTTTTTAACTCTCTCATGGCATTTAGTGTAGTAATTATGTATTGGCTTTGCTGTTCAGAAAGTATTGGCTGTGCTGACTTAGTTATACTTGATTTTAAATGGCTTCATCTAGATCCTAAGTGACTAATGTTTTGCAAGTGAAGCTGAGAGCTCTATCTTTTATGTGCCTGGGTTAAGTGGCAGGAATTTATGCCAATGGTGCTGAAATTGGAAGGGTGATTTAAAAATAACTGTAATGGCTTTTCTCCAGGCAGCACAGCTCTATGAAAAGTAACTGGGGCAGAGATTCAGTCTCCTATTACTCAGATATTACCTGTGAAATAAGTAGAAGGTAATATCCTCATTTGCTCTAGGTTTGTAAAATTACAACATCCATAACCTTTTAAATAAATTACAAAAGAGGGGTTCATCACATGCACACTGTATTTAAAAGCTATGTTCCTACATATCAATATTGTCATAGAAACTGACATAATGTCTACATCATCTGAAATTTCAAAGAAAAGCGATGTTTTCTTCAGCAAATAAGGAAACATCCAAAGTTCCAAAGCAGTTCTTCTCAGCATTCAACCCCAAAGCTCCAGAACACTTCAAAACACAACTACACAATTGACCAAGTACTGTAATTTACTAGAGAGATTGTGTGCAAGCTACCCAGCACAGAGGGACAAATGCTCTGTGTTCTCAGAGTGACATTACCAGGTAAATGTTGAATGCGAAGAAGCCAGATGAGACAGAGAGTGCTAGCTCAAAGCCTTAGAACTCCAAGATTGTTTCCTGGCATTGTCTGTCCTCCACATATAGCAAGACTAGAAGACAGTTGGGCCTCAGTGCTGAATTGTCTGGCCCAGAGAACCAGGACAAGCATAACCAAGAGTTGCCACTGGCCCCTTCAGTGCTGCAAAAACAGGGTCCTACCCCAAGAGCTGCTGCCTTACCACTAGAACTAAAGTCAACGGGCCCAATCCACTTGAAGGCAGGTTTCCGGCCTCTCTCTTCCGTGACATGCACTTTCTTGATGAGTGCCAAGCTGGTCAGAACATTGGCGATGTCATAGAGACGCCGTACCTTTGCTTGAAAGAGAACACACAGTGAGGGTCACACTTTCCATGATGCCATGACATTTGAGTTGACGTGACAAGTCACTTTTCTTGGCCACCACACCAACTGCAGTTGTAAAAACCAGGGGTAGGAGGAAGAGACAAACGGCTCTGTCACGAAATCACCCATGGTGGCATGTGCCCAATGACACTAACTCAGGGAAGGTCAGTGTGTCCCCTCTGTGCTACTGTGTCTCACCTGTAGAAGAAGCACTGGTGACAAGCAGGGAGCCCTGCGATTACTGAGTCACCTGGGAGGGAGCTAGTAATTAAAGGCTTAGCAAAAGCAATTTTGTGCATGTCAAAAAGACAGCCTGAGTCTTCTCCTGCAGGAGTTCAGGGCAGTGGGCATCTGGCCTGTGAAAACCAGAGTCCCTGGAGCTTCCGGTGAAGTTGTACTGCCGGGCACACTGGCAGGGTCGAGCTCAAGATGATGAGGTGGGACCTCGCTAAGGACAGTCAGCTCCTCAACCACATCTGCCACCATCCTCCAGGCCCCAGGAGGGCGGGAGCACCTTTGAAATATTCATGTTAACGCTTGAGTTAAAAGAGAAACTCAGAGGGGCGGTAACTCATCAGCGAGGCAAGACAATGTCCAGAAAAGCCATTTTTTGTTCCAGAAATCAATTTCTGGTAAGAAACCTACTTGATCTCAGGGCACAGATCAAGTGAAGGAGCTTTATCATCCGGAAACATCAAGCCTTCATCTAGATGTCACTTTGTTCCCAGACCCAAGAGAGCTGGATTCCAACCTATTTCTTCCACAAGGTGGCTCTGATTCCAAGTTAAAAACAAAAACAAAACAAAACAAAAACACCAACAACACCAGCAAAATCTCCACAAACAAAGAAGGGGCCTAAGAGCTGTGCTGTGCTGCCCGGGGTTGGAAAGGGGTGGCAGCAGCAGAAGCACCTTCATTGGCCAGAGGGAAGCAGCCCTGACATCGGGCCTGGGAGTACCTTCCTCATCCGTCAGTCACTCCGCCACCCAGCCCCTACCCTGTCATTCCTCTGGTTCTTACCTGCAAATAACTGTCATTTCCACCCATCAGAAGAGTATGCAGGGGGTGAGGAGAAAAGGGGAAAGAAAACTCAGACATTCTGTTCTGGACGCAGCATCACCCAAGAGAAATACAAAGGATCAGACACAGACACACTCCCTTACCTGCCCCTTTGGGCAAAACTTCAGCTTCCACCGAACACTTTAACTGCCAAGGAAAAGGTCAGAACTTTCACGGGAGTTCTAGCACATGACAACTTACCTCTCAGCAGCAAGGGCACTTTCCTAAGTACAGGAAGGCATGCACTTCTCAAAAAACTCTCTTCTCCTCAGAGTCAGAAAAATATCAACAGAGGAAATCCCGCCCTTTTGGTCTTGATAAATGGATTTATGAAAAGATGCTTACTTTTAAATTTACTGTGGTCAGGGGTGTCTTGGCTTTCTTCTATCAGGATTTTGGCAGCCACGTCAAGAGTAACAATCTTGGTTTTGGAGACCAGGAACAGCATGACAAACTTCTGGCTCATTATTCTCAGAGACTTGTCTTTTCGACTGTTTGCAGATGCTACGAAAAGAATCAGAGGAAAATAGCAAAACAGATCACTAACCACAACACTTGAAAGAGTTTGATAAAATTTGATCTAACTACCAGCACATGGAAAGACCACTCTTGTTGGCAGAAGTGTACACTCAACAGTTGGACCATTAGGAAATAAGGCAGAGGGAGCTGGAGGGATAGCACAGCAGGTAGGGTGTTTGCCTCGCATGTGGCCGGCCTGGGTTCGATTCCCAGAATCCATATGGTCCCCTTGCACCGCCAAGAGTAATCCCCTGAGCATCACCGGATGTGACCCAAAAAGCAAAAAAAAAAAAAAAATCGAATTTCTTTTATATCCTTTGCAATGCTTTACCCTAAGTCACTCTAAATGCTTTACACTCATTTCTCATAGAGCAGAATCCAGGAGGTAGTTATCTTGAAGCAATTTTAAAAAGATCTACATTAAAAAGATGAACACAGATGGAAAGATGGCTATGTAGCAGGAATTATTTTGAGGGTATCAACTCTCTTCTCAAAAGCAAGGAATCTTTATATCTTCTGTGCCCAAAATAACTAGACTATGCTTTTAACATAGCTGGGACCAAGTGTACCCATTTCTCTTCAAACTTTTCCCAAAAGATGGGGGATCTTCTGTTTAGTCAAATGAGAATGACCCATCGGGTGGAGCTAGACGGCATGAGGCAATAACTCTAATAAAAACCAGCCGGCCCCCTTCTTTCCATTCTCTTTCTTATAACTACGGGAAAGAGAGTGATGTTCACACTTATTTTCACTGCATGGGGGAGCAAAGTGAGAATGATGATGGTCCACTGGGTGGAACAAGAAGAAAAAGGAGAGGAACAAGAGAAGTGAAATATTCTGCATGAGCCCAAAGCAAGGCTGTCTGTCTTTCTAACCAACACTTTCTGTTAATGGGGTTCTTGGCTAAGGAACCTTAATATATCACTTTGAAAGTTCAGTTCTTTGAAAAACATTCACTTCTTTCATAGGGAGTTTTCCTGGAGGGCTCACACACAGAATGAATCACGATGCTGTCTATGTGGAATGCCAGCACTGTGGGCAACCTCAGGCACCCAGCACCCCCAGAAAGTACCCACTGCTCTGTGCTTCTGGGAGGCTGGGCTGACTGGGCCTTTCTTCTGTAGAGAAAATCTACAAAAGGGCACGGGCCTCCTGGGATTCGGTGTGGTATATCGCACCTTAGTATCACTTTTCTTTTTTAAATTTCATTTTAGGCACTATGATTTACAACATTGATCAAGGCAGGGTTTCATGCAAAAACCATTCCAACCCCACCCCCTCCAGCAGAGTGTCAGCTTCCCTGCCCCAGGCCCAGCGACCCCCTCACTTTATTCCCCCATTCCTCCCTACAGTGATAGCAGCATCATTTCTCATCTCTGCCGAGGTCTCTCCAGAAGAGACTGTCGCCTTCTCTCTCTGCCATTCCTCCTGCAGTGATAAAGGGACTCACAAGAGTGATAGTCGGGTTCAGAGAAGTCCAGTAGTTGTGGATCTTGGGAATCGGGATAACCATCTTTTTTACGGTCTCCAAATTTATAATCCATGAGGTCAAGCTCCTTCTGCTGGAGGTGCGCCATCTGCTCTTCATATTTCTGCTCCTCCCCGAGTCTCTGGAGGCTCCTCAGGGTCTGGGGCAGGCTGTGCCGTCCATGCCAGCCATACTGATTCTTGGCCACCCGGCTGACCAGGTGCAGAGACTCCAGCACATTCACGATGTCATAGATCCGCCTCCGCTCAACACCTGTGTGAGAAGCCGAAGCAGACAGTCATCAGGGGGAATGCTTATGAGGATAACTCCATGAAAGCCTGCACCAGGTCTGTGAACTAACTGGCAGGACCCCAGTGTGACACCCACCATGCAGATGCTCAGTAGGATTAAGCTTGAAGAATACATGCAAGGGGAATTTATTTTTTCTTTTGTCTTCTTGGTATCCAGACCTCAACAAGACCTGGGATCAAGCATTCACCCAGAGATGGATGACAGGGTCATCTGTATTACATAACCAATTGCATAGGATTGCTTTATACTACGCAAATAGTTCAGGGTTAAAACCTGTGGGATCCGATAATGGGGTCATTAAAGTCCTTGTCTGAGGGTTCACTCAGCTGTTTGTTGCCAGTTGAACCTTCAGTGTTATTGTTTTTGTTTACTGAGCTTAGCTGGCTTCTATATTCCTTTCCTGCCTAATTTTCTATGCTCCTACTGGGCTGTTGACCCCATGCTGAGATATAACAACTTTCACAAATTTTCTTCCACTTAAATAGTTTTTGATAATCCAATTAGCCATTTTGTTGTAACAAGCAATATAAAATAAACCATTCTGTGCTGGATAAAGGGGCAGGCTTGCGGAGTGGGTAAGAAACTGGAGACAATGGTGAAGGGAAGGTTACACTGGTTGTAGGATTGGTGTGGAACAATGAATGCAAAACAAAACAAAACAAAAAATCAAACTGCATTATGAACAATTCTGTTAATCAGGGTGTTTAAATAAAGTTTTTTAAAAAAAACTAGTGGGATCGGGCAATTCTAGGTACATGCCTAATGGATCGCTGGCTGGATGCTGGATGGTTGTTACTAAACATAAGGACTTTGACTTACTAAACATCAACTATGTCTAATAATTAATATTCCATTATTGGACAATGCTTTCCCTTTCCTTGAGTTTGGTACGAAAATATTACCATATTTCTCTTAATGGCTTAATGTAGGAAGGAAAACAGATGCAAATACTTATTTCCTGATTTCACCCGGAAATTCAGAAGTCAAGGACTTTGCCAGGATTCCCAAGGTGCTAGGGGAAACTCTAAGTAGGGTTTAAACAACTGAGTCACTTCTTTCTTGTCAGGTATACGACAACTCTCCTTATTCTCATTCATCTGTCCTGCCAGACAGTTGAACACAGAATCCATTATAATACTGGCTTACCAGATAGTGAGTTCATCGTTTGCTATCCATGTTTCTAACTTCCTCCCAAAATTTATTATTATGAGTTATCTACCAAATGTACCAGAAGTATTTACAGTATTTACTACTTCAATCTGAATTTCAACTCTGTTCCTTAAAAGTTGTTTTTTCATTTTTAATTGTTTGGGGGTAGGGCATGCCCCGCAGTAGTGCTAGAGGCTTACTCCAGTGCTCAGAGATCACTCTTGATAGTGCCAAGGTGGTGGTGGTGCCTATAATCAGACCAGTCAGACCAGGGTCAGTACATCCAAGGCAAGTACCTTAACCCCTATACTATATCTCAAGCCCTGTCTCTAACTAGTTGGGATGGACCTTGACCTTATCTTTCTGTGTATTAATATTTATCTCATAAAATGATGACCATAAACATAAAGGGTCTCCAGTGGGTATTAATTTACCCATGGCATGGAGCGAGAGCACAGCGGATAGGATGTTTGCCTTGCACTTGGCCGACCCAGCCAACCCGAGTTTGATTCCTCCGCCCCTCTTGGAGAGCCAGGCAAGCTACTGAGAGTATCTCGTCCACATGGCAAAGCCTGGCAAGCTCCCCGTGACGTATTCAATACGCCAAACACAGTAACAACAAGTCTCATGATGTAGACGTTACTGGGCCCGCTCGAGTAAATCGACGAACAGGACGACAGTGCTACTAGAGTGCTACTTCCTGCATGGCACTGTGGATAACTGAGATCCTTGCTAGCATGTAAGGCCAAAGGAGAAACAGATTTTTAAGATCCGCCTATGAGTCATCCTGTTGTGCAACAGACTGTCAGGCTTTTGGAATCCACCAGCCTCCTTGCTCTCCTCCAAGTATCCATAACAAAGCCTCCAGGCATGGCCTGCAAACAGGCCGGCTAGATGCCCTTTTTCTGTTTACTTGCCAGGAGTGCTGTACAATAAGGGCAGGCGCTGAATGCAGCTTCTGGCCCTGCAACGATTTAACATGAGAAACAGACTGCTATGATGAAGACTTTGCACCTCTAAGAACATTTGGCCACACGCATGAAGAGGCATTCAGTCAATCAGAGCGTTTCTGCTCATGACCCCGTAGGGCTCTTCACTCTCTGAAGCTTGGGGAAGCAGGTGTCCGTTGGATCATGCTAGCAGGGACGGGCGGCAGCCTTGGGTCTATATCCATCATGTCCTCTATTCTGGCCTCTTTGCCACATTAGCACATCTCTTTTTTTTTAATAGAGTGTAACATTCTACAAACCTTCCCATTAGAAATGTCAAGTGAATGCAACTGAGACACCCCAGGGCTAGCCATATGCCTGGCCGCTCTGCTATTCTGAATTAGATACAAGCTGTTCAGTCTCCATCTAGTGGCTAGACGGCCACTGTCCAGCAGTGGGGGGGCGGGGGAGATGGAAAAAAGAAGATTCCGAGCACTGGGGAAAATGACATACAGCACAGCTGTTTAGACATGGTGCTGGCAAAAGCGAATGTGTAGCCCAGTTCCTGGGCAATCACTTTTTTTATCTGGATTTTATTAACTATCCACTATTTGGTGTTTTTTGTTTGTTTGTTTGGTTGGTTTTTGGGAGGGTCACACCCAGCAATGGTCAGAGGTTACTCCTGGCTCTGCATTCAGGAATTACTCCTGGTGGTGTTCAGGTACCGTATGGGATGCCAGGGATTAAACCTGGATCAGCTGCATGAAAGGCAGGCGCTCTATCTGCTGTGTTATCATTCCCGCCCCTTTGGTATGTTTTTTTTAATTTAAAAAATTTTTTTTATTAGTGAAACACCATGAGGTACAGTTATAGACTTACAAATTTTTGTGCTTGGGTTTCAGTCACACAATGATCAAGTACCCATCCCTCCACCAGCGCCCATCCTCCACCAGCACGGGTCCCAGCATCTCTCCCACCCCCCATACCCCCTTTCCAACCTGCCTCTGTGGCAGGGCATTCCCCCTTGTTCTCTCTCCTTTTGGTATGTTTTTTGAAAGTTTCCTTTCACATATCTCAACAGCTGTAGGTTACTCTGGGGTATACTGTCAGGAAAGTTTTCCCTGGCACTAGTCTTCTTTTTCTTTCATCTATAGCAATCCTACGAATCCTAGACACGACATTCTTATGTCTTCAAGGATCAGCTAATATGCCCATGCTTTCTTCATCCCTGATGGAACTTACCCAGAACATCTCTCAACCCTGTAAAACAATTTCCTAAGCTACCACATTTCCCAAGTGCTCAAGTGACTCCTGGTCCTTTAACTTCTTATTGATGATGCCCATATCAAATCTACATAGCACTAGAAGCTGGATGACAATGTAATCCAAGTGGCCTGCATATCCTTGGTTGCAATTTATGACTTAGGAAACAGCAGGGAGCTGGGACTCAGCCCCAGGAGACGGACCGCCCCTCCCACAGATCTTGGGAAGGAAACCCAGATTTCCGCCTCACGTGGCAAGTTCACTTGGGAGATCTGTGTGGTCAGGAGTCATTAGAACTATAACACTGTTGCCCCATTGTTCATCGATTTGCTCAAGCAGGCACCAGTAACGTCTCCATTGTGAGACTTGTTATTACTGTTTTTGGCATATCAAATGCACCACCGGGAGCTTGCCAGGCTCTGCAGTGTGGGCGGGATACTCTCAGTAGCTTGCTGGGCTCTCTGAGAGGAATCAAAGTCGGGTTGGCCGCATGCAAGGCAAACGTCCTACCTGCTGTGCTACCTATCACTCAAGCATTAGAAACTGTGACAAAAGTCTCTGAGGTTCTACTCTGGGGCAGTTATACTGGCAGGCTCCAGAACCCATGACAGTAAGAATTGGCCTTTCTGTCCCTTGGGTTATGGAAACACAGCCTTCCAACAGAGTCTGCCATGTCTACACAGACATCAGCAAAAGGCCCCTTGATGGAAGTTAGATATGGAGATGTTGTTGAATGAGCTCCAGTGAGAACAATACCGTATGAGCCGTTGCTGTATCTTCATCATCTGTGAGACTAGTTTCAGGACTCTGTGCCTCAACCAAGGCCACCCCAGGTCTGTCCAGCACAGTCACTTTACCTGTTGATTCACTGGCATGAACATCAAATACTGTATGCTATTTTTAGGTTCAGAAATGACTTCACACCCCTTCCCCTGGCTTCAGAGTTTGACTTGATGACTTGGAGAAAAAAAAGCGATCTAGTGAAAACAGAGGAGAATCTGTTCCACCCAACACAGCATTACCTGTGCTGAACCCTTAGTGAGAAATGTCTTATAAGTACCACACGCTACCTGATTGTGCCACTGGAGCCACACCAGATGTGGGTCCTGAGCAAGTAATGTCACTAACATTATTCCCAGCTTTGCTAAGTTTCAGCAAGATAGGGCAAGTGGGTCCTAGGTTTTAGTCAAGAAAACTGCTGATTTTATTTATTTTTTGGTTTTGGGGTCAGACCTGGCGGTTTTCAGGGCTTACTCCTGACTCTGGTCCAGGATTAGCTGTGTGCAAGGCAAACATGTCCCTGCTGTATTTTCTGCCCTCAATTTTTAAAAGCTCTTACAGCTCATTAAATAAAGAGCTACACCTCAAAGTTAGCTCTCTCTGACTGAAAGTCCAGGCCATGGTATTTCAGTCACAGTCTGCTGCTGCTTATTTATTTAGGCTTTTTTTTTTTTTAGTCACACCCAGCAATGCACAGGGATTACTCCTGGCTCATGCAATCAGGAATCACTCCTTGGCGGTGCTTGGGAGACCATATGGGATGCTGGAAATTGAACCCGGGTTAGCTGCATGCAAGGCAAACACCCTACCCGCTGCACTCTAGCCGCCCCCCCCCCCTTATTTTTTTGCTGCTGCTTTTTTAAATCTCAGTTTCCCACAATTAAAAATATTGTTTGGAAGCCAACAGCTAGCCAAGCCCACTAGGGGTCTCTATTTGCAGCTGCTGCAGGCTACACACCATTGTGCATTACATATACCCAGGCTGTCAGAACACGCCTTCCTCTTTGTTAGAAGGTTTAGCTGTTTGGGTTATGTCCAGATGTGTTTTCCCTTGCTGGACAGGTTTGCTATGGATAGCACAGCGTAGGGCCGCAAATAAAATGCTCTTGCTCGCAAATCTTATTTACTAATGGAAATCATACCAGCTCTGAACTCCTAGAAGCATTATTAAAAGCAAACAACAGGAATGAGCTGAAGACAAAGTACAGTGGGTAAGGCACTTGCCTTGCATGCAGCCAATCCAGGTTCGATTGCAAGCTTCACCAGGATCTATCCTGAACACAGAGCCAAGAGTAAGCTCTGATCTCTGAGTGTGGCTCTCAAAACAAGTAAAACCAAACCAAAACAACAGCAACAACAACAACAAAACCCTGTAGATCTGTCTAAATACTTTTGAACCTGTCTGAAATAAGATCAAATTGATGATATTCAATCTATCATGTGAGTCTATCATAAAGATATTTTTTTAAGGTTAAAAACAAATCTCAAAGTTTTGATTCTCAGGCCTCACCCATTTGGTGGGCCCACTCTAGATTGTGCAGAGTTTGCTAAAACCCCCACCCTGTCCGAGAAACCAGTTTCCCACCTCCACAAGAGACAGGTCCCCAGGTAATGAGGATACATACCAAGACTGACAGCAACTTCATCGAGGGAGATGGTAGTTTTCTCAGTTGACAAGGGATAACTTGGATAGCGAGCTAGGAACTTCTGGCATAGGAGTCCTAAACTTTTCTGTTTCCTGCTTGGCCTTTGCTTTTCAAACTCATCAACTGCACTGTCCCCAACAACGTCAAGCTACAGAGGGCAAGCAGAAGGGAAGGGGAGATGTCACAGTTATCATCCAAATGGACAAATCACAATGGGCAGGATTAGTGAGTAGCGAGTCATCCCAGTCCACACCATCCTTGAATCTGGTTAAAATCTACTTTTTTTTTTTTATACCCGGTGATGCACAGGGGTTATTCCTGGCTCATATACTCAGGAATTACTCCTGACAGTGCTCAGGGGACCATATGGAATGTTGAAATCGAACCTGAGTCAGCTGCATGCAGGCAAATGCCCTACTTGCTGTGCTATCACTCCAGCCCCTAAAATCTACTTCTTAATCTAATTTCTTTACTGCTGTTTTTCCTATATTTTCTTCTGGACTGAGTTTCATTCGCCTTTGAAACTGTAGGCTGAGTCTACGGGGAAAAGCCTTGAAAAGAAAGTTGGGTGGGGAGGGTGTGATCTTTTGTAGGTTGCATACACTTGTGTTGAACTGTGATCAGCATTATCCTGAGTCTTTTAGAGAAGTAAAATTGCAGGGCTCATTCCGAAGTCTGATAAATCCCAGTGTATCAGAATCCATCTTTCTATAGGACTCTGTGATTCCCTATTGAAATGAAGGTTTGAGATGTATTGGCCTGGTCAAGAAATGATGGAATTGAACAAAGGGAGATGAACCTTATCCAATTCTTCCTTACTCTTTAAGTACAGTCTGGTGTACTTGTCTCATCAGCTCACATTTGAAAAGGGACATCTCTGAGTCCAGAAAAAGTAAAAGGCTTTTCAGTGAGCATATTCAAGGAAAGAGGTAAAATTCTCTCAATAGCTCCAGAAAGAAGCATTTAATAAGTTTAACACTCATTTGTGACTTTCAGAAATGCCCTTGAAAACTAGTAGTGGACAAATTATTTAATAAAATGTTCAAAGCATTAAAACGGAAAGGCAAATATCTATCTGTCTTAGTGGGAATACCTTAGAAGCATCCCCTTGAGATCAGAAAAATAAAAACAATGCCTAGTATCACTGCTTCTCTTTGACATATTATATTAAAGACACTAAATGATGTATGGGGTCAGAAACAGAGGCATAGGCATCGGAAAGAAATAAGTAAACGTTCATTCTGCAAAAGCACAATTGCTTCTATAAGATAATTTAAAATTATTTAAAATAACAGAATTTAACAATGTAGCTAAAAAAGTCAGTAATATTGAAAAACCCATTGCATTGCTATGTTATAGTAATAGAAAGAGAACTAAAAACATCTATTATAATAGCAACAAAAATGGTAACACTTTTAGGAGCGCATCTAGTAAAACTCTATTTGCATAAAATACTAAAATTGAGGTCGTTGAGAAATGTAAATGTAAAGTGTGGATAAATATGATCCTTCATGCATAGTATACTCAGTACCACAAAGAACATGAATTCTCAAATTCATCTACATGCAAAGCAATTCTAATTAAAATCAAATCCAAAGTTTATATGCAAGCACAAAGGGTGAAGAAGAACTAACACATTGAAGGGAAATTGAGGTTCTTCTATTATGGGACATCAGTGTTTATTACTATGTGGTACAGGGGTAGGTATAAATAACTTACCACCAGAACAGAAAAGAGCCCAGAAGGAGATGTATGCATGAATCAAACTTTGACATAAGACAGAAGTAGAATTGCCAACTAGAGGGAAAAGGAAGGACTGAATAAGTGGTTCAGGAAAAATAGATTCCTAGCAGCAAAATAACGGGGAGAGAAAGACAAACACCACACTGAAATGTAATACTTGTAACTGACAAAGATTTAGTGTCTAGAATATAGACCATAAACTCCTAAAAATAATATTAAGAAGGAAAACCTAGTAAAAATCAGCTAAGAACTTAGGCAGGATTTCACAGAAGAGAAAAACATGCAAACACATGGAATGAAGCTTCAACTCATTAGTAATCAAGGAAAGGCAAATTAATTCCACAAAATACACAATCATACACCCACGAGATTGGCAAGAAATTAATATGTTTGACAATTTCAAGTGTCAGAGAGGATGTGAATATATCAATGCCCACACATTAGTGGTGGAAGCAAACAGCCCTTGAGAAGGCAATTTGGCATCATCTTGTGAACATCTGCAAATTCAGTGACCGAGCAATGACACTCCTCGGCCTACATGCGGGAAAGCAGTTCTCAAACTTTCTGGACACAGGATCCTTACAGATTCTGAAAAATTTGGGGCTGGAGCAATAGTACAGCGGGTTGGGCATTTGTCTTGCACACGGCTAACCCAGTTTCAATTCCCAGCATACCATACCCCAGGCATGGCCAGGAGTAATTCCTGAGTACAAAGCCTGGAGTAACCCCTGTGCATCAAGGGGTGTGATCCAAAAAGCACAAAAAAAAAAAAAAAAAAAAAGAACAACCGAAACAACAGACTGAAAAATTTGATTATGTGGGGTTTGTCTATAGATACTTTAAGCCTAGTGATACTTAATTTTTAATTAAAAATTAAAAGACAGTTCAATTATAGGGAAAAGGACAGTTTTTCTAATTGTTTCACATCTCTTTAGTGTGTGGCATAGCAGAAAAGATTCTCATCTCTGCTGTATTCAATCTGTTATAATATCTGCATCATGTAGTTACTGAAAAATTAGTGTACAAAGAGTTTGAATGGCAAAAGTCTTGGATATTGTTATAAAAATCAGTTTGACGTTTCTGACACTCAAAGAGTTTCAGGGACTCTCTGGTCCCCAGTCCACATTTTGAGAACCACTGTGTCAGAGAAACTCTAGGACATATTAGCAAGAATTATACAGGTTGTATAGTTTCTATTAGTTCAAAATTGAAAGCCTAAACCTAAGGGCTATTCTGGGAAGGATGCTTGCTTTGCATATGGCTGACCCAGGTTTGATCCCTGACATCCCATATGGTCCCTGGAGCCCTGCCAGGAGTGATTCCTAAGTGTAGAGACAGAAGTAAGCCCTGAGTACTGACAGGAAACCCAACCTCACCCCCACAAAAGTTCTAAGAAATATGTTGTTAGACAATTCTGTCATTGGATGATCACCAAAACATAAATATAAAAACCTGGATGGTGTTGTCTATTGGAACCACCATCCTATAAATAGTCCATAATTGACCATAATATCATTAAAGTGATTCAAAAGAGTGTTGTGCTGTGAAGAGATAGCATAAGCAGTGAAAACAAAATGACAACGATATGAAGAACACTGATGAATTTTAGAAATCTATGTTGGTGGTGAAAAGCAAGTGCCAGAAAATTATACACCATACAGTTTCACAGTAACAAAAGCCTACGATTCAAAGCAAAGCAAAAAAACCACTTAAGCAATATATTATAAAGACAATATATATATGTACATGTCTATAATAATGATTTAAAATTAGCAAGGAAATGAAAAATACATAAGAGGTTACTCTGTGGAAGATAAATCTTGAGTACTTACATCCTGGTTTGGAGGTTGGAAAGTAAAATCATGATATTACATATACAATAGGATATTAAGGATATTACATAAACAATAAGTGTATTTTATGTCAGGCCAAAAATTTCAAAAGCAATAAGATATTAAAGAACAATTAAGATATTAAATGATCTTAATGGCTATTTTAAGACCACTCAACTTTTAAGCATTTACTTCCTAGAAGGGAATATTTCTAACAATTGATTCGCTTGGGGGGGAGGGTAAACTAGCTTTACCAAAATAAGAAATCAAGAGTATTTTCTTGTGAAAGACATCACTAACAATTTCCCAGAGTGATTTTTATTCTGCTGTTGTTTCTTGATCAAGAAAATGAAAACTAAATGATATTTAGAAAGTTTTGACAGCAAAATGTGCATTTAATTGTGATTAATTCCTAAAACCCTACTAGAACCAGGGCAGGTACTGCAACTCTCATCTTAAAGGTGAGTCAGCTGAATACAGAGTGCCCTCGGAATTTATCCCAAGATTCTAGCTAGTGTGTGTCCACAAATATTTCTGAAAACAAATCCCTTTGCTTTCTCCAGGATTATAAAATGAAAGAAAGTCATCTTATGGAAGAATTATTAAAACTTTCTGACTTTGACTACATAGGAATTCTCTCAAAACTGCAATTTGTATTTAGTTAGGCAGAAGAATCTATCAGTTTTATCACTCCAAAGTAGTATATAGCAGATCAATTCTTTTTGCTCTATTAATTTCAAGTTGTAATTCAGAACACCCTTTTCTTTACCCATTCTCTTCAGGGTGGTAATTTTTATAGCTCAGAAAATCTGCTCAATGGATAAAAATATGGAAAAAGAAAATTCTAACTTTTCTAGTAATTCTGGAAAGAATTAGGTAAGAGTAAAAATATTGACCATAATTTTTTTTAAAAAGTAGAGATGTGCCAGTTATCTGCAGCTCTGACTTCCCACATAATAGGTAACTTAAAGATAACTTTAAAATCTAAAACCAATTAAATAAATATATAGGGAATAATTAAATTTATCAAGTTAAAAATAATTAATGTTAACTGTAAAACTGGGCTGGAGCAATAGCATGGTGGTAGGGCATTTGCCTTGCATGCTGCCAACGTGGTCGACCCAAGTTCTATTCCTCCGCCCCTCTTGGAGAGCCCAGCAAGCTACCGAGAGTATCTTGTCCGCACGGCAAAGCCTGGCAAGCTGCCCGTGACATATTCGATAAGCCAAAACGCAGTAACAACAAAGTCTCACAATGGAGATGCTACTGGGCCCACTCCAGCAAATCGATGAAAAACGGGAGCACCGTGACTGTGAACTGTAAAACTAGAGCAGGGCTTGATAGAACAGTGGGTAGGGCACTTTCCTTGCATGTAAGAGACGCAGGTTTGACCCCAGCATCCCATACGGTCCCCCGAGCAACAGCAGGAGTTAATTCCTAAGTGCAGAGTCAGGAATGACCCTGATATTTGTTGAGTGTGACTCTCCCCGGTCCCTACTGGAGGGGGGAAAACATGGCAGTGCATAAATCATTAATAGTGTTAAAAAGAAAACCAAAAAAAAAAAAATCATTACATCATAACTATAATTATTGCTTTAAAATCATTTAAAAATGTGTGTAGACCAAGGGAGTAGCATAAAAGAAAATATTCACATAAAAAGTGAAAGTCAGTTTCATTTTAGCTAGAAAGACATTTTAAAAATATATCGAGTTTTGCATCCAATAGTAAATAGAAATTAAAAATTCGACCATCTGTTGATAATCAAATAAAAAATTAGAAATTCTCTAAAAGTCCTAGGTGCCCAGTCTACTTACTTGCAGAGAATCTGTAAAGGCATCATCTTTATTCTCAATGGGTCTGAACAATTCCTTTTTCTTCTCCCGGTCTCTTATGTCTGGGCTGGCAGCACTAATGAGCATCTTTAGGTTAGCTGTGGGCGTCCATGGTTCTGTCTGCTGTCTATCCACCAGCTTGACGGGAGTAATAGGATTTCTTTCTGGAGAGAAGATTTTTTGCTTCGATAAATCAATTGGCTCATTTTTTATTGGCGTCTTCGGAGCCATCCTCAAGCGATCAACAAAAATATTTTCCTGTTTGAAAAAAGAAAAAAAAGACACCTTTTAGCAAAAGCAACAAAGGGCAAGTATCATCAGTTCAGAGTATCCCTATATACTTATCACTGACCAAGGTAGGAAAATACACAGGAACCTGAAGGTTCCTGGCTGAAAAATCAGGACAAGACAACAAAAGCCAGATTAGTTAGATCTATTAGATAGCTCTCTCTCTCTCTCTCTCTCTCTCTCTCTCTCTCTCTCTCTCTCTCTCTCTCTTTCTCTCTCTCGTCACACCCAGGGCTTACTCCTGGCTCTGCACTCAGGAATTACTCCTGGCGGTGCTCTGGGGAGCATATGGGATGCCTGGGATCAAACATGGGTACACCGTGTCCAAGGCTAACGCCTTACTCACTGTCCTATCGGTCTGGCTCCTGGATCCCCTAGATCTGTTAGTCTTTAAACTTATGTTTAAGGTGTCTTGAGAAAGAAGTGAGGTAACTCAGTGGTGTATTTTTGTGACAGGTGGGGATGGTAAATACAAGTTGAGCCCATACTGTTTCTAAGTACTGTATTTCATTAAACATTATTGACAACTTTACACAACGGTAAAGATAATTAAGCATGTGTAGTCCACAAGTTCTAATATAGCAATTTGTAACAGAACTGACTGAAAGAACATTCCAAATCCCACATTTCAAACCAACCTGGAGTACCATGTAATGCTAATTCCCCAGAGCTGTGCTTCTCAAACAATCTATGGCAAAAGATCAGAGGTTTCCGCATGTTGGTATGTGGTCTTACTTCACGTGAGGAATCTGTATCTCCTGCCACATATGTGTGACTCTCAATTTGAGCTTGTTGCGCAAACTGACCTACAGCCTGTTTTGCCAGAAGAAAACACTGTTCCACAGGTCTTGCTGTCAGAGACAAGATTAAATTGCCACAAAGGCGAGCAAGCTCTTTTCTGAATATATTGCAGTTTGCTAACAGTTTGTGGACTAGATCAGTTCCCCCTGATACATTTTGAGCACACAGCCTTAGATAATTATAAGACAAGATTAACGATAGTTCTCTTAGTATGAAAAAAAGGACGATGTATAGAAAAACCCAAGTTTAGAATTATTAAAAAATCAAAACAAATTCCTTTCCCTTAAAATAAGTTTGTACCACTGGGAAGCAAAGATCTTGCTTTTCCTATAGAATTCCCCTCCAGGCAACAGCATCTTATGTAACAATGAAGGTAGATGAGTTAAGTATTTGTCACTCCTTTCCCTGCACATGTATTACTTGGTGGCTGCTGTAGGCTTGGCTGAGCAGTGGTTTAAATCAAATGCTTTCATGGGGGCTGGAAAGATAGTACAGCAGGGAAGGTATTTGACTTGCATGCAATTGACCCAGGTTTAATCCTTGGCATCCTATATGGCTCCTGGAGCACCACCAGGAGTAATTCCTTTGTGCAGATCCAGGAGTAACCCCTGAATACTGCCAGGTGTGCCCCTAAAAAGTAAAAAGGAATTGGAGCTGGAGTTGGCTGGTTCCTTGGACCAGCAAAAGCCCCACCCCACTCCGCCCCCCAGCCATGGTGCAGGACAGTTTACAAAATGTGAAGGGAGATAGTTGGGATGAAGGTAACTGTTTCTCACACCACAGCAGTAACAGGCAGCCAGGGTGTGGGCACGTTTCCTAACAAGTCCCTGCTAGTGTATAATCCGGATGAATTCTTCTAGGAGGAAAATGACTGAGAGTTTCCCATTAGCCACACCCTGTCTCATGCATTTAAGCTGTCTTCTGACCCCCTACCCAGTCCCTTCTCATCTCTCATCGTTGTGATAAACAGGAATCTAACACATATAATTATGGTACTGTCCACTCATTTTGGTTGCAACAATCACCAGGAGACATATAGGTGGTCATGAAGCTCATCACTCAGCTGCAGTGACCGATACGGTTGCACACGTTAGTTGTGGTGCCAGGGATCACACTAAGCAGGAGGGCAATGCCAGGGATCGAACTCACAGCCGCAATCCTGCAAAGCAGGCACCCTATCACTGAACCATCCCCGGGTTCCTTCTTCACGTGTACGAACTCCTCATCTGTATCCTGGGACATGGACGGGCGTTATAATTTTCCCAGGCTACAGATGACAGAAATGGAGGCATGGAAGGGTTAAATAACTTGCCTGGGGTCAGAGAAGCTTATTCATCCCAGGTCACTGGGATGCAAGAAACAGCTGAAAACAGCAGTTTCTGAAATTCCGTTTCTAGAAGTGAGCCAGCTCTGGGAGCACACGGGCAGTTACCTTTGTCCATGTCAACAAAAGGCACCCAGCGGGTTGCTGATGCCCACTGGCATGTATGGAGCACAGAAGAGGAAAGCAATCGTGCCCGTGGGCAGAGATAGGCCCAGCTGAGCTGCCTTTCTTTGCTCCTTCTCCAGCGTTGAGGCTGTGTTCTTCCTCGCCCCTTCTCCTCATTACACTCATCACTAAGATGTTTGGAAACAACCAACCTGAAGGACCGTGAGAAACAGTTCCTGGGCTGCAAGGGCCTGCAAAAAACTTCACGATGATCTTTTCTCCCTTTTCCTATTCTTTATCAGCACTTGGCACTTCGAGTTAAGCTAATATACGGCACCATATCACCACTAAATTTCCTGGGCATATGTCTCATCTCATTTGTGATGCCGAGTACTGAGTGCTTGGGGAGATTGAGGAGCAAGTATGCGTGCCTCACTGCTCACAATTGCCTTGTCACTTACAGGTGCTCAGAGGACACGCCTGAACGGGTCTCGTGGGGCCAGAGCAACAGTACAGCAGGTGGGGCGTAAGCCTTTTCTGAGGCCAGTCTAGGTTCGATCTCTGGCACCCCCTATGGTCTCCTGGGCACCACCAGGAGTAATTTTTGAGCACACAACCAGAAGTAGCTCTGAGCATCACAAGCTGTTGTCGCAAGAACAGCCAAAAAATAGCAACAACAAAAAGGTGTTTTTGGGGGAGACAAAAAGGCCCAGGCCTGCCAGGATGCAAAGTACTGACTCTCTTGCCCTAGTGCCTAATGTTTCTGGACTTAAGAAAAAGAGGAGCAATGTAGGCAAATTAGCACTGTAGCACTGTCCTCCAGTTGTTCACCAATTTGCTTGAGTGGGCACCAGTAATGTCTCCATTGTGAGACTTTTTGTTACTGTTTTTGGCATATCGAATATGTCACGGGTAGTTTGCCAGGCTTGGTCGTGTGGGTGAGATACTCTCGGTAGCTTGCCGGGCTCTCCGAGAGGGACAGAGGAATCGAACCCGGGTCAGTTGTGTGCAAGGCAAACACCCTACCTGCCATGCTATTGCTCCGGCCCAAATTATTTCCATCTATATCTTGATTGACTTTTCCTTAGAATTTAAGTCATGTTTAAAGTGAGAAGGGTGTTAGGATACCCGGTAGGTCATGACTAGCAGATCCTTTTCAGCCAACAATAAAAACGTGCAGCAAACTGTTTCTTAAGGAGTTGGGTGGGCAGAAGGTCACCTGAAAGTCAGTCATATCTTGCCCCATCCATCCATTCATGCTATGATCCTGACCCTGGACCAGGTAGCAGAAAGGGCATTGCAACAAAGACGTGGACTCCTGGCTTGTTTCAGTCTTTGTGTTTTTGATATTGGGTCAATATTCCTTTTCCATGAGCCCAAGTCTCCTCCTGACTCACAATAGAAGTGATTCAGCCTGAAGTCTGTGTGCAGAACTCTCCAGAGAGGCTGAATGATGGATTCTGAGCATCCCCAGGAAATAATGACAGTTCTCCAGTGGTAGAAAAAAGGCCCGCAGTAAGCTTCTTACGTTGGCTTCAGAGGCTGATTCTTTGGGGATCATGCCCTTCTCAGAGAATCTGGGCTCCCACAATGGCAAGTCAAAGTGACATGTAAAAAACCTGACTCTCTTTGCCCTACTCAGGACTCCATCCAAGGGTCATGTGGGAACGCACCATGAGGTATAATGAGGCTGCATCTCCGCGTCTCCCTCTGTCCAGTTACACTAATCTCAAGTGTATTCCCAAACAAGCCTCTGCTCACTAAACCCCATATCACGTCGGCCTGCCAAGAAATCAAAGGTGCAACATGCAGGAAGCCACTTCCTCAAGGAGAGAACCAGGAAGCAGTCACGCAGCAAACAAGCCTCAGTGCTCATCTGTAAATGCTGCCCTGTGACTTCAACTTACCTGCCACAGAGATGCGTGAGGATCAGATAAGATAAAGAAAGTGAATGCAGTTTGTAATCTGTGAGTGCTATGCAAACACTGAGTATTAATTATACCAGCATGATAACTATGCCTTCATTGAAAGTGCTTTTTAGTTAAAAGGTCTTGGTTCTACTCCTGCTTCTGTCTCAGATATGGCTTTGATCATGTGACTTCAAATAGTACAAAGCCATCTCCTTGTCAGGCCCTGGGCAATGTTTCTAGCCTCTGTCCCAGTTCTGTTTCAAGCCTATCTAATGTTTTTTTTTTCCCCCCTCAAAAAGTATGCTGTTTTTCTTTAAACCAGCCCTGTACTTCTTCGTCACATCTGAGCTGTTGCTTACATCAGCACTTTGTTTTGAATGTCAACAGCTGAGCAGTGCCCCAGACATCCCTGCCTATTGTTTAAGGCTCCCTGCAAGTTAGGGAGTGTCTCCTGCTAGCTACTGGCTAACAGCTCTCATCCCTTCTGAACAGTTTCCAGAATAGGTGGTTCACAGTGAGTGCCTCCCAGGAGGGTCTCAAAGCAAAGGTTGGTTCTGAACACTCAACTGCACTCTTTCTTTTTGTTCTCTTCCTCGTTCTCTGACTTTCCTTGTTAGTCTCCTTCACTGGTTCTTTGTTTCCACTGTTAGGAACTTCAGTCTTTCCCCCTTTGCTATTTGTCTCTCTGGGGTGGATCACCCATACTCAAGTGCTTGGTTTTAAGATCAATCATGTACGTAATTCCCAAATTTGTATCCAACTAGCACCCTCGCGCTCACCTCCCCCCACCCCCAGCCAATTCCCACAGGTAGCATCTAGATGCTTCCTGCACAAACTAATCTTCATAGCTAAGTCACACAAATAGTTTATATCATTTAACATTTTGGTCAATGACACTGAATATACAATGGTGATCGCAGTGCGCGTGATTCCATACAGCCTAGGAGTGAAGTGGGCCCAACATCCAGATGCGTGTGTTTACAGTCTGTAGACATTTGTAGCACTGTCCTCACGTTTTTCATCCATTTGCTCGAGCGGGCACCAGTAATGTCTCCATTGTGAGACTTGTTGTTACTGTGACTGGCATATTGAATATGCCATGGGGAGCTTGCCAGGCTTTGTTGTGCGGGCGGGATACTCTCGGTAGTTTGCCGGGTTCTCCCAGAGGGACCGAGAAATCGAACTCGGGTCAGCTGCGTGCAGGGCAAATGCCCTACCTGCTGTGCTATTGCTAGAGATTTGTACATTGGTGAAATTGTCGTTATTTCTCAAAATGCGTCTTTTTGTTGACATGCATGACTATATAAATATATTTAAAATTGAATGTGCCTTTCTGCACCACTCTCCCAAATGAAAGACCATTAAAAAAGACCCATTGGGGCTGGAGTGATAGCACAGTGGGTAGGGCAGTTGCCTTGCATGTGGCCAGCCCCAGTTCGATTTCCAGCATCCCATATAGTCCCCTGAGCACTGCCAGGAGTAATTCCTGTGTGCAGAACCAGGAGAAACCCCGTGTATCACCAGGTGTGACCCAAAAAGAAAAAAAAAAAAACACGCACTGAGAGTCCACTAAATGTGGCCTTATGTGAAACAGACCATTCTCATTTTTGTGCCTCTTTACTGGTTCCTGCATTTCTCTACATGCCTGCAGTCTTAGCATCCATTGCTTCAAAACCCTCAAGTACAAGCCCTTCTTCACAGAACCTTCTTAAATGCTCAATCCTATTAATCATGTCTTGAATCCAAACCATCATTTTCGACTTTAGCTGTCCCCAATTGCACTGACAACAACTTAAGATGACATTCTTGCTTCTAATCCCACAACTGAAAACAGTAAACGTAGGTAATAAAAGTACAGATTATATTTAAAGAAATTAAGTTTCTCCACAAGCAGGAAGAAGGTATTTGCATAAAACAGTATTATTAGATGTTGGTCAGTTTGCAGACAGTCAAAAGGAGATACCTCGGGGCTGGAGTGAGAGCACAGTGGGTAAGGTGTTTGCCTTGCACGCGGCGGACCCAGGTTTGATTCTCAGCATCCCATATGGTTCCCCGAGCACTGCCAGGAGTAATTCCTGAGTGCAGAGCCAGGAGTGACTCCTGAGTACAGAACCAGGAGTGATTCCTGAGCATTGCTTGGTGTAACCCAAAAAGGAAAAAAAAAAAGAGAAAGAGAGAGATACCTCAGGCTGGGAGCGGGTAGGGCATTTGTCTTGCACATGGCCGACCCGGGTTTGATCTCTCTGCCCCTCTCGGAAAGCCCAGCAAGGCACCAAGAGTATCCCCCGCCCGCACGGCAAAGCCTGGCAAGCTCCCCGTGATGTATTCGATATGCCAAAAACAGTAACAAGTCTCATAATAGAGATGTCACTGGTGCCCACTCAAGCAAACTGATGAACAACGGGAGGACAGTGCTACAGTACCTCTGGCTGAGGAGATACCACAAAAGACTGGAGTACATGCCTGCATGTAGAAGGCCCTGAGTTCAATCCCTACCACTGTATGACACCCATCTATACCACTAGGATTGGCCAGTGGTATTGACCCAAGGACCCCTCTGAGCATCTGCAGAGTGACCCCAGTGGCCTCCAGCATTACTGGGTCAGAGCAGCACAGTATTGTAAGGCCCGAGCATTCAACTCTTTGGCTCAGATAACCTCACATCACCAGAAGTGGTACCCAGACTCCTTCAGCATTGCTTGGGAGGCCCCCAAAATACATTACAAAAATTTTAAAAAATTAATAAAAATGATAAATGCATTAAATGCCAATTTGCCCCCAAAGATCGCTCAAAGGAGGTTTAGAAACAAGTAAGCACCTCGAGCTTTTGGCCACTTTGAATACCCTGAACATTACTTCCTGTCCATCTCTCTTCTGCTACAATTTCCATCTCACTCATGTTTTTTTGTAGGTGAAGTGCTGAATATCCTCAGCCCAGATATGATCTCCTCTGGGAAGCTCCCCAATTTCCATGCATTTGTTCCCAGCATTCACCAAATCATAGTAGAGTTGGTTAGTGTTATAGCTGAGTTCCTGAAAGACCAGCTCAGGTAAAAGGCGGGGGTGGGGGGCGGGGGGCTGATATTCATTTGTGTACTGTCAGTTTAAGTGAGTAAAATGTGAACACTTAGTGTTGCCAGGTTCCTTACAACATACACAGGAAGAGGTGCAATCTATTAACTTGAATTTATGGAAGGAAAAAAAAAAACACAACAGGCTTAGAGAGGTTAAGAGACTTATTACACCATGGTATCCCCAGCACCTCGAACATAAATATTTGTTGAAAGACTGAATAAATACATTTGTTTGAGGTTACATAGTTACTAAATAGCAAAACAAGAATCAGAGCAAGAATAAAACCCAGTTTTCACTGACTCCAAATCCAGTATTCTCACTATGCCTGGGAATTCTTGACTTCAGAGCAAAATGAAAGGAAAATAAAAGCCCCTCTTAGCATCTCTGCAAAGTACTCTTCTTGTCCATCTCATTGGGAGCTGAAATAATCCCTGCTCATACATTCTATTTCGCGCATTTCAAACATGTTCACAATCTCTTTTGGCTCATCTGGTTTTTCTCTCCAAACCCATTAAATGTGAAAGATAGCCCACCTGGACAGAGCACTTACTAAGTGCCAGCTAGGGTAGAGGTGCCTTTGATGAAGATACTTGATAAAACACTACTGACCCAGAAGAAAATAAGTGGGCACTGACTCATGCTTTATCTAAATGCATACAGTTTCTCCCAGAACAGTCCCATCCAAATTATGAAGGAAAACAAAAAAGTTTGCTCTGAAGCGAAAACTTTGACTATATTAATATTCAGAAGGCACGGCTACTGTTCCATGATTTAATTTAAAAAGAAAAAAAAAACAAATTTTGAGTGGGACTGTAGTAATAGTACAGGAAGGTAGGGTTCATGTGGCTGACCTAGGTTCAAACCCCAGCATTCCATATGGTCCCTCAAATGCTGCTGGGAGTAACTTCTGAGCATTGTGGGTGTGCCTCCCAAACTGAATGTTCTCTTCAAGGGGCTGGAGAGACCATACAGTGGGTAAGACCCTTGCCTTCCAGGCTGCTAACCTGGGTTCAGCTCATGGTCCACATAGCCCACCCCTAACTAAGCACCACGAGGAGTAATCCCTGAGCACACAGAAGGAAGCCGTCGCAGAGCCATGTGACCCCTAAGCAAAAAACTGTTCCCTTTAGAGCAATGTTGGGATATATTTTTTTCTGATAAAAATAAACTGAGTGCTGAGGACGGGGGTGGGGGGGGAGGTATGAGGAGACAGCTTCAGAGAAAACACACAATTTTTCACACCTATCCCAAATTAACAACTGTCAAGTATGCGTCAAAGGCCAGTTTAGCAGGTGCTTCGCACCCAGGCAGTATCATAGTTGATGTTAAGCCAGAAAATAAGACAAAAGAAATTCAGTGCTCACACAGGTTTGTTTCTAAAAACAGATTTGTAGTATCAACTTGCTTCTGCTTAAAACACTTTCACTGCTAACCAGTTATACCTTTTTGGTAATAATAGCAGGTGAGGACAACCGTGTTAATATGGGTTCAGTGATATGTATTTTAACAATTTCTCAGGCTAGATAGAGAGTACAGGGCTTAACACACTTGCCTTGCAAGTGGCCATCTGTGGCTTGATACTGGCCTGGTGTACGGTCACCTGAGCACTGCTGGTTGCGATCCTGGGGCACTGCCATGCATGGCCCAAACATCACAACCCTTTCCCCCAAATTGCTATGTCTAGTTTCCTAAGCCATATTTTGGGAAGACAGCAAGGATCACTGACCATGAGGGGTGCAAAAGAAGGGAGGCAACGATTGCAAGACCAGTAACAGAACTGTGAAATACTGAGGGCACACTGGCAGACTCAATGGCTTAAACAGGCAATGGGCACAATCTTGGGCTCAGCCTATAGAAGTCTTGAGGAGAACATTCCACAACATTTTAATAATACAGCATTAATAGCAAAAGAGTCTATTTTCCCAGGAATTGGGGCTTAACATTCCTTTGAAGCATGAGCTAATTCCAGCATATTTTTCATATAAACTATTTCCAACAAGACCTATAAGCAAGCTCTGTTTCACTGCACAAAGACTGAATCTCAAAAATCAAGTCGAGAAGCCTGCATTTGACAAAAGTATGTTTCTATAATGTTCATCAATCAACTGTTGATAAGACAGGTGCAAGTGACATGTTGGAACACTTACTTGAACCAGACAGCACCATCACAAATCTGTGCCGGTATTGAAGAGCACTTACCTTTTGAGCATTTTCTCCGTCTTCAATTGCAAAATCTAGTCTGGGCGGCCTGGGGTGGATCAGGTCTTTGAGTGTTAAACAATTTACCTCCATCTGTAACGCATAATTTATATTGGAAAATGATTTTACATTTAGGTATTTCCTCCTCCAACAACAAAAAAGTTTATTTACTACGAGCTATGAACGTGAACTTCCCTTCCCTAAATACATCCTGGGAATTCCCAGGAGGGATCCTGGGCCCCAACCATCTCTAAAACGCACATGAACGAACACAACCCCCTAAAAGCAACCTGGGAAGAGAAAAAATAAATAAATAAATCAGTAAATTTCTACGAAAAGTAAGAGGGCAAAATGAGTTACCTAAGTCAGGAGGGCGCAGGGCAAGTCTGTCAGAAAGCGCAAGGTCTCCTAGGTCAGTTAATTTTGGCGCAAAGAACTGGGAGGAATTCGGCTTTGAGGGGGGTTTTGAATCAGGAGGGAAGGAAACCTGATCGCTAGACCAAACCCACTCAACACACTAAGCGCAGCCCATCCCCAGGCCTCGGAGCACAACTCCACGGAGAAACTCTCGCCAAGAAAGGTCCCAAAATCGAGAGCAAGGACGGGTCCCCTCTGCTGCCCAACTGCAAGGATCGCTCCAGGCACGCTCGGTCCGGCGGCAGAAATCCGCCCCCCGATTCCCCGCCAGCCCGGGGGATGGGAGGGGAGGTAGTCTGGGATCCCGAGAGCAAAAAGGGGGGTCCCTTTACCTCCCAATTCCCGCCTCCCCTCCAGCGCCCAGGCCGCCTTCTACTTACTCCTGCCGGGAGATGATTTCCTGCCTCCTCTCGGACCCCAAACACCCCACCAGGGAGCGATCAGCAGCGCTTTTTAAATGCGGGGCGTGGGGATCAGCAGTCGGGCGGCGGCATCGGGCGGGGAAAGCGACGCGTGCGGCTCCCCACCGCCACCGCACCACCAGGCTCTGCGGGTCCGGCGCAGGCGAGGACCCCCGCGGCTTCCCAGCGGCGTCAGCGCTACGACCCCGCAGAGCGCGTCTCCGGCGCCCCGGCTAGGAGTCCCCGCTAAAACACCTCCTCTGGCGCCTTGAGACCGAATTTGAGCACCGGCCAATCAGCGAGGGCCGGCGGGACGTCGCCGGCCAATGGCGCGGCGGCACGCCCCGGGCGCCCCGCCCCTCGGAGTCTTGGCGCTCCAGGCCCCGCGTTTCGGCCGCACCCGCCCAATTGTTGCCGCCTCGGCCCCCTCCCCCTTCCGGGTACCTGGAAACCTCGGGCCCGGGAGCCAGTTCCTGCCGCGGACCCGGGCCCCGGGCGGCCGCGCCAAGCCAAGGTGGGGGCGCGGCCCGGCGGCGCCGAGGGGGAGGGAGCTGGAGGACTCTTTTGTTATGCAAAAAAAAAAAAAAAAAGCCTCGAGCTCCCGCTCCCGTGGTTTGCCGCGTCTGGAGACCGCGAGCACTGCCAGGGGTGGGGAGGAGAGCAGATGGGATTTGGAAAAACGATCTAGAGGCGACCCGGGATGCGGCCACCGCCACCGCCACCCCAACCCCCAGCAACCTGCGCAGAAGCGAAGTTGTCGAGGCTTGTTGGGGCAAACTTCCCAACACGATCGCCGCTGGGACACGTGAGCCATGGTTACCACTCGGTGCTGCGAGCAGATGGCACGCCAGTTAGTCCTGGAAACTCGACTGCAAGCAGAACCAGCTGTTTGCCCCCCCACCCCCAAGTCCCACCACACCCCGGTTTAATTTTGCAAGCGTGGAAAAGTTTCTTGGCGGTGGTTCTCCTTCCCCCCTTCCCCCCAAAGCCTTGTTAAACGTGCTTTGCAGTCTGGACCAGCATTCTAGAAAGCCCTTACCGCGAATTTCCTCGACATTGCTGATTTATGTTAAGTGTTTCGCTACCTTCAATTCGGTAGATTCTGACTTAAAATAGGAAGGCCCATGGGCACACTGGCGTGTATTTTAATAGCCGTCCTTGTTTGGGACAGTTTCAATGGAAAAGTAAGATCGAGTTCTCCAATATTAGGCTCTTCATTTCCCCTAAGTTGGGCATATCTTACATTGATATGGTACCTTTGCTAAAATAAAACCAATACTGGTATATTATCCTTAATGAAAGTCGTTATTAGTCCCAGTTTTTTAAATTTTAAGTGAGGGGCTGGAGCGATAGCACAGCGGATAGGGCGTTTGCCTTGCACAGGGCCGACTGGGGTTCGATTCCCAGCATCCCATATGGTTCCCTGAGCACCGCCAAGAAGAATTCCTGAGGTCAGGAGCCAGGAGTAACCCCTCTGCATCACCTGGTGGTTAAAAAAAAATTTTAAAAATTGAAATGAATGTCCCTTTTCTTTTTCAGGATACTAAATGTCGTCATGTCTCCTAAGGTTGTTCAAATGTTCCTATTCCATGTTTTCATGACACTGATGCTTCTGAGGGTTGCTAATCATTTGGTAGAATATTCTGCCATTAAAATTCAGACCAACCTCTCTTAAGTGTCCTTACCGCTATCTCTCTAGAACACACTTTACAACAAGGATTTACTTTTTATCTTTTCTGTACCAAGTACTCTGTTCTCCACCTTCTCCTCCCAAATATCTATTTCCTAAACTAATGGCAGAGTACAGAATGCTCGATCAACTGCTTCACTTATACTCTATTTAGATTGTTGATATATACAGCCTGCAAATCACTGCTAGGTCTTCTTTGAAAAGTGAAAAAAAAGGGGGGGATGCATTCACTTGACATAGCAATGTTAATTAGAACTTAAAGTGTCTATAAAAGAAATGTTATTTTGAACAGAAATCTTCTAGTCAAAAACATAAGGAGAAAAGTGTTAACAATTGTAGTTTATTTGATCTCACAGTTATATGGAAGCAAGACATTTTTATTTGAAAAAAATATTCCAACTGTATTACCTGTGATTACTGGTGCTAGAATTGGTCTTTTAGCTTCTGGTAGCTCTAAGCAATTATTTTGTATTTGTTTTGTTTTGAAGCCACACCCAGTGATGCTCAGGGTTTACCCCTGGCTTTGCACTCAAGATTTACCCTTGGCAGTGTTCAGGGGACCATATGGGATGGCTGGATCAAACCTAGATCAGTGCTGTGCAAGGCAAACCCCCTACCTGCTATGCTATCTCTCCCGTTCTAGCAATTTTTGAAGTACAGCTGGCTACCTCAATCAGATCTCTGCACTGTGGGTCACATTGCCTTCCCTTTTCTCTTAAATTTCTCCTCTCTCTTAATAAGAACTATCATCACTGAATTTAGCCCCCCACCCCCCAACTTATGATCTAGGTGATTTCATCTCAAGATCTTTACATCTGCAAAGATCTTGAGATCTTTCTAATAACAGAATACTTATAGGGTCTGGGGATTAGGATATGTGTGTACCTTTTTTTGTAGCTACCCTTCAGGTACCTAGGCCAATATCTAATTAGTTATATCCATTTAATTTTATGATAATTCATATGTATTTTCAGGGTCTTAAGATTTGTTTTCAACTCAAATGTAGCCTCTATCTAAAATAAGAAAAGTTCAATATGTAGCTTCAGAAATTATAATTTCATGGATTGCTTAATGTAAGAATGAGTGGTTGGGGGAAAAATGCTCAAGTAGAAAAACTCATTCTGATATGTGCAAATTTCTGAGTTTGATCCCCAGCACTGCATTGCCTTCCAAGCACTGCCAGGTCTATCATACAGCCAGTACAAGCATCATCAGAAATGGTCCTTATAAAAATTAATAAAGGGAACTGGAAATGGCTCAGTAGCTGAAGTACCTGGTTTCCCCCCATCCCCATTTTTATTGAGGTATCATTTTTTGCAATAAGGTTGAGACATTGAGTTCCATTCCCAGTACAGTCTTCCACACATACAGCAAAGTGCATGTCTGGCAGCAAAGTGATTTCTGCCTATGCACAACCTGATGTGTGCAAGTGACACAACTAAAGACACAATCCTGTTGAGCCCCACGACTGAGTGATCCCACACCAAACAACAGCAGAAGCAGGAAGGGAAAGGGAAATAAAGTAAAATCAAATAATAGTTATCTCAGGTTTGGAAAACAAACTAATCCCCCCCCCCCGCCCGGGTCTAATGGTGAGATATTCAGGGACACTGTTCTAATATACTTATGTATATTGATGTTTTCAACTTCCATTATTTGTAAATAGCCTAGTAATGTCTTGGTTTTTGGTCGATACTATTAGTGCCTGGGAACTGAGCTGTAATATCATGTGAAGGACCTGCATCTGGTTCTGCATATATCTGATCTTGTAGCATGGTGGCAAAGGAAGTTGGATTGACAGGGTTAGCCAGGTTCCAAAATGAATGTTATCGCGCATGTAGTAGAAATGGCACAAACTTCCTTGACATTGCCTTCAACCACACACAACATCAATTTAGTTAAGCCAATCTTTTTCTACTTCAGATGGGTCTACAAACCAATAAACTCATAATCAATTGAAAATATTATTAAGTCAAAATTTCATTTAATGTACCCAACTTACATCATAACTTAGCCTCGCCTCCTTTAAACAATGACACACACTTAACATTTGTTTTAACATTTGGGCGATATCATCTAATACAAAGCCAATATTGTAATAAAGTGTTAAATATCTCATGTAATCCAAATGCTTTACTAAAAGTTTAAAAATAGCCTGTAGAGTATGCTTTGTTTGTTCTCTTGATTGTGCAGTTTGCTGTCTCTATTCAGCATCACTAGAGAGTGTACAAGTGCATACTGTGTGCTACTCCAGATGGAATCCTGGTGCCCAAGAGGTTCCACAAGCAAGGCCCAGGTATGCGGGTTCCAGGACGGAATCTCCAGGCCACATGGTGGCAGAGGACCCGGGTTGTCCCTCCCCAGGTCCCCTCTTACCCTCACCCAGCAGACTGGCTGTCATGCCCACAACTTGCCTCTGGGCACCATCTTAGCGCACCAACAGCCCTGGCCCAGGGTCACAGCAGCAAGTCCTGGAAGACACCACAGCACTGCAGATCTCTCCAGGGCCCCATACCGGGCCAATTTCACCAGTGCACTGCAGATGGAGCAGGTACAGTCTCCCTACCTACTCTAGATGGAGCAAC